ATAATAAAATATGTTTGGTAGCTGTAATGCCAGTGTACTCGGCAAAGTGATTCTAAAAAGAATACGCCTACCGCCTAAATATTTCGTGTTGGTATCAGGTGACCTCACGGACAATGATGCGGATGACGGGCAACGGTAGGTAAATTAGATGAAGTATATGTATTTCAGGATATATTTGAAATAACCTCTTAACTTTTTTATTAAAAATGATTATCAAGGCCTTATTTATTTCTTGACTTACTCGGTAGTTGATTTAATAATTATGTCAACAATTTATAAGTCAACATTTTCTCAAACTATGTACAATAATACAATTCAAAGTTTTAACTCAATGTAAATCTTAATAAGCGGAAATGTTTGCAGTTTCGATATTTTATAGGTATGTACATATATGGTATGTATTTTTCAGATAGCTTTTGCTGCTTTTCCTATGTATTTATATAAGTATCAAAAATATTGTTATAGGCATTAGAAAATAAATTAGAACCGACTGATTCGTTGCTCAGTATTTTTACATCCTGTAATATTTGCCTGTTAAAACTTATAATAAAATTTATAATAACCCTGTATGTACAACTTGTACTTAGTGAGTCTTATGTTGCTTAGTCGATATAATGAAAGGGCCGGAATAGTGAGATTCTACTGTATAATATTAGCGAGAAATCTCGTCAAATACCTGGCTATTGCGATGTCCTGAGAAAGCTATTTCCCTTGACTTAATTATCGAAATTCTGAATATAACCGTTAAGTTCTCTATACAGTGGGTCAATTTTAAAACTTAATCACGAACAAAAGATGATATCGAAAAATGCTTGAAACCTATTCTAGGATAGTAAGGGGGAACTAAAATGAAATTAAAGAGAACTCACCCCCATCAACCTCCTTGGCCCCACCCATCACAACCAAAAATGTTTAAACTTTGAGGGTATACAAGGCAACTATCGAACACGGTGATTAATTTAATCTTGCCCAAGTACTTTCGATCAATAGATCATCTTCAGGGGCATTTCGTCAGTTGTGGCCTATCCGACATAAGTAGAATGTCATAAATGTAAAATTTGGACATAACAATACAAAATACAATACACAAAGAAAACAAACACTTTAAAATTTTAAGGAGAAGCTACATGTTGTATAGAAGCCGGAGACAGAATGACTCTTTCGATCAATAGATCATCTTCAGGGGCATTTTGTCAGTTGTGACCTATCCGACATAAGTAGAATGTCATAAATGTAAAATTTGGACATAACAATACAAAATACAATACACCAAGACAAACAAACACTTTAAAATTTTAAGGAGAAGCTACATGTTGTATAGAAGCCGGAGACAGAGTCATTCTGTCTCCGGCTTCTATACAACATGTAGCTTCTCCTTAAAATTTTAAAATGTTTGTTTGTCTTTGTGTATTGTATTTTGTATTTTTATGTCCAAATTTTACATTTATGACATTCTACTTATGTCGGATAGGCCACAACTGACGAAATGCCCCTGAAGATGATCTATTGATCGAAAGTACTTGAGCAAGATTAAATTAATCACCGTGTTCGATAGTTGCCTGGTATACCCTCAAAGTTTAATTATTCGAACATTCAACCTTATATTGATTTTTTGAAAAATGTTTAAATTGCAAAACCTCTACCTCTGATACATCATTAAAAATACTATAAAAAATGCCATCCAATGGTATAAATAATAATTATACAGGGTGAAGCAATAATTGTCAAACTTTGGCTAAATGGAAAATTTAATGAGGTTTTTGTTGATGACCCTGTATAATTATTGTTTAATAATAATACAGGGTGTTAATATCAGCCGGCTTACTATGACTTTTGTATTTGTAATGCTATCTCCCGGATTATTATTTTTAATGATATGATAAGTGCCCGTTGGATTTTTTTTGTTAAACAAAAACTTTTTGCCGTTTTTGCAAAACAAGTTGAAAACATCTGTTTTTTGGGTTCTGTCAGATTCAATAATTTTTGCTTTATTTGAGAATTTTAAATGTCATTAGTTTTCATCATTTGTACGATCGGTACTGTCATTCAGCTGTAGTTGTCACGATGGTTTACAACAGCGGTGCCCAAACAGTCGATCACGATCGTCCGGTCGCTCACGACAGCTTCTGGAGTCGATCGCAACAGAATTGTATATTGTAAACTATTCAGGTCCTAATTGATATATTCCAGGCTTCTGAGGCAATGTAATCTCGCGACGTTTGGCGAATGTTACCGATTATTCTCGAGTGTCTGTTTCTTGTATAATAACAAGCTACGGTGACAAAGCATTATGTCAGTATATACCAAATTACGAAAAGTAGAAGTTAGAGAAGTAAAATAGAAATATTTAAAACACGAAATGAGTACGGAAGGATATCTCACATTAAGCTTACAGATTACATGCTTGATTAGATGTCTTAATTATAGTTTGTATTTGTAAGCATTTAAAATATAATTATTTTCAGAAATCTACTTATTTTAGTATCTAGGCTCCACTCTAGTTGTAGTAGTCGGTACAAGTCTGAGCACCCCTGGTTTACAGTATACCTGAAAGCGTGGAGATCATTTTCATATTTAATTGATATGAGGTTGAATGCTCGAATAAATGAACTTTGAAAATTAAGGCAATTATATCGAGCACAAGTTTAATTAAATCTTGCCCAAGTACTTTCGCTTAATATAGCATCTTCAGGGGCATCTGAAATAAGCCAAAAAACGGTTTTTAGATGAAAGAACTTAATTAACTTCGATAAAAACTCGAAGTTAATGGATGATAAAAGTTTTTTGTGATTAACGTTTTAGACTTACTTTGTCAAATATGGGCTATCCAGCAAGCGTAGAATGTCATGAATATGAATGATAACATAAAATTGTACAAACACTACACTAAAAACAAGGACAAACAGTTTAAAATTAGTTAAAATATTTCTACGCTATACATTCTTTGGCGGTATCAGGTGAGAGAATGGTGTTTAACGGAAATGCTAAGGTGACATGTGACATATGACGGCTTTGATGGGCAGTCACAGTCATGGATATGTGACTATCATATCATATATCATATTTGCCTCCCAGAACCAGTGTAATTTACGTAGTTGAAAAGTTTAGAGAAACGGGATCAGTGCAAAATAAAAAAGGGATGCCCCAAGATTACTGAATGGAGCATCCCAAATTGAGGTCCTTAGAAATTTTGCAATAGAGTCTACTGCATCAACACGTCAAGTATATGCAATGACAGGACTTTCACATGAGTCGGTTAGAAAGGTGTTGAAATTACATAAGTTTCACCCGTACAAAACACAAATTCTTCAAGAACTAAGCGATGATGATCCAAACCGATGAATTGAGTTTTGTGAACTCAATTCGGGTTGAAGCGGGAATGTTAAAAAGTATTTGTTTCACTGATGAATGTACTTTTATATGCTGATCGATAATGTAAATAAACAAAACTGTCGGTACTGGAGTGATGCGAACCCGCATCGATTCAGAGAAGGTCACACTCAATATCCTGAAAAACTGAATATTTGGGCAGGAATATTAGGTGACGCTATAATTGGCCCCTTGTTCATACCAGGCAATCTAAGTGGCGACAATTATCTCGATATGCTGGAAAACACCATTGAACCTTTAATTGTGCATGAATTAGACAGTCAAAGAGACGATCAAGGCAACCTAGCTCTAGACGAAGATGTACTGCACTTCCAACAATGCAGCAAACCTCCTCACTATGCAGCTCCAGTTCAGCACTGGTTGAATACTAATTATCCGAACAAATGGATTGGAAGAAGAGGTCCTATTGAATGGCCACCGAGGTCACCAGATTTACCACCACCTGACTTTTTTCTATGGGGTTACCTCAAGTTAGGTGTTTATAAAACTCAACCTACGTCACTTGGGGAATCGCGTGAAAGAATTACACAAGCATGTCGCGCTATTAATAGAACAACATTTGCCAAAGTTCGTGCAGAATTTGAAAGTAGGTTGTATTATTATTTACAAACAACGGAACCTACTTTAAAAATTTACTTAATTGACATTTTTAACAAATTTGTAGTTAACAAAAATCCTCATTAAATTTTACATTTAAGCCAAAGTTTCAGAATGATTGCTTCACCCTGTATAATTATTATTTATACCATTGGATAGCATTGTTCACAGTCTTTTCAATAATGTATTACAAGTAGAGGTTTGCAATTTAAACTTTTTTGGTTGTGGTGGGAGGGGCTTAATAGCCCATTGTAAGTTTTAAAATTAATACTATATAAAAGGAAATCAGATTTTACTGCTTGAACACAATATTACAATAAATAAAGTATACAATTTTATGCCGTTTATTGTGAAAAATATTTACAAGAAATTTATGATGTTAAAAAACGATTGACTCAAACGCTTTACAAAGAAGGTAACTAACATTGTCCTAGTTAACCTCGCTGGGCACAAGATTTTTTTATTAGAAGAAAATCTCATATCCTTTCGGTTTGTATCCTACTCGCTCGAGTAGCCACAACAGTTCTGATATAATGAGCAATTCTTTGTACAAGACATAGCTGCAAACTATTTAAACTGTATATAACTGCAAAGCATTTTTATTCAAGACATATATTACAAAAATCTGATGCCCAAAAATAAAAGAGAAGAATGAAGAAAGGAAGAGATTAAAAAGAGGAAAGGGTATCTAAAATATAGTTAACGCATAATCGTAAAAATTACGTGCCTTAATAAATGTGGTGTTTAAATTCGAGTATAATAAATTATTTAATTCGTTTTAATGAGCGCATTATTGCATGCATTATTTAGGCAATACCTACATTTCTAGTAGCTCCATATCGATAGAATCAACAATACAAGATCTCATTCTTTAATTTTTGTGTATACAATTGTTTAAATTTACAGAATTTTAGAATTTGTTCTTGTATTAAGAGAGCTGAATGTAAATCAAAGATTTTTTCTATAAATTTTATCAAAACTTAATGATTATATCGAAATCGAAAATAACAAATAGTAAGTCTTATCATCAACATCAACATATAAAAATTAAATCGTAAGAACATAAATATTAAATGCAAAACTATCTTATGGTAGAAGGCAATGCTAAAACGTTCCAAATAAATAAACCAGTTTTTGAAGAATGATTTGAAGTTTTGAAGATACAACTTTCGGCATCCCTATACCATATTAATATTCTAAAAATGCTAAACATCACATGATTTTTGGTTTAAGTTAAAACACGCTGCCCATTGTAGAGGATTTTTCATAAAAAAGCATGTAAGCTGTACTCTGCAGTACTTCATCAACAGATACTTCTCTTATTTCAACATCCGATGTATAGTACCACCTGCAACAAATATGGATTAAAATAATAAAGAAGAGAATGTAAAAAGAGTTTTTTTGAAATAACATTAATATTCCTTTCATGTTATCTACACTTCTGAATGTGCCTTCCCCTGTCGCAGTTTGACCGTTTTTAGAAAAAATAAAAAAGAGCAAGATCGGTGTGTATTCTAACTCGATTCTTGTGTTTAAAAAGGAAATCAAGCACCGAAATAAAAAAACGCTGTATACGGTGATTCGATGGCGATCGACAAAAACTGGTTTAAAAGTTTCAACGTGGTCGAACGTCGGTTTTTGATGAAAAATACGGAGATATTCCTAAAACGGCTACCACGTGACAAAAATCCACGATCTCGTATTCGCAGACTACCGATTGAAGGTGCGCGAGATAGCTGAGACAGTAGGCTTCTCAAAAGACCGCTTAGGTCATATTCTGTATGAAATTTTGAAAATCAGAAAACTTTTGGCGAGATGGGTGCCGCGTTTATTCATTCCGGACAACAAGCGCAACCGTTAGACCACTTCAGGGTAGTGCTTCACGCTGTTTAAACGCAATCCGAAGGAGTTTCTTAGACGTTTCGAAACATGGATCCACTGGTATACATCAGATACCAACGAACAGTCGATTCACAAAATTTGATCTATATCGACTACCTGGAGAAGGGCAAAACAATCATAGGACTCTATTATGGCGAATAATTGAGCCAATTCGACGTCGAATTGCAAAAACTTCGTAGCCGCCACGGTCAAATTGGTCGAACAGGCCTACGAATTGCTGCTCCATCCATCGTATTCTCCATATTTGGCCCTGTGCGATTTCTTTTTGTTGAGGCTAGGAACTTGAAAAAGTTCCTAGCCGGGAAGAAATTTGAGTTGAATGTGGAGGTCATCGCGATCAAGAAGACCTACCTTGCAGACTAAAGACTAAGGGAGGAAACTAAGTTAAGAAATAAATCACCACTTTTCCAAAACTTTCGTTTTTCTTGTAGGCGCCCCACCTACTATCGGACCGCCTTCGTATAGCGTCAGAATTATATTTCCAAAAAACACAAGAGTCTATTTGGATACCTATGGAAAATAATACAAAATATGTCTGAAATTATCTATGGAATTTTCTTAATGATTTTAATATTTTCTGAAAGTCCAAATATCAATGTTTTTCAAAATTCTTTATTACATATTTTTTGGGCCTACACAATAAATTTTGTTGTTCTATTTTCTATGAACTCAAAATTTTATCGACATTGGATGATTATTAAGACGAATAAAACGGAAATTAATTAATTTTTAATTTAATCTAATCAATAATTTTAGCGAAGAACAAGTATCACCAACACAATTTGGTTTTCTGAAAGATCTGGGAACAACAGATGCCCTATTCAGCAAACAAGTGCTCTTTCAAAAATGTGTGTAATGTACATGCCTGCTTTATTAATTATCAAAAGGCATTCGACAAAGTTCAACACAATAAAATAATGGAAGTCCAGCAAGATAGTGGAATTGATGGCAAGGCCCAGTATATAATAAGAAATTTATACTGGAATCAGTCAGTTTCTGTTAAAGTCAACAGTGAAAGTGAAAATTCAGCGAGGTGTCCGACAAGGATGACTATTGTCACCCTTTCTATTCAACATATACTCAGAGGTAAATTTTCCCGAAGCCCTAGAATACACAGAAGCAGAAGCACTATTAAAGGGCGACCGAGTCGACAATTTCAGATATGTCGATGACACAGTCATTTTTACCGAAACTGCTCAAGGATTACAGTTTTTAATGAACAAAGTAGCTGAAATTGGTAAGAAATATGTCCTAAGGGTTTTTTTTTCTGTAATATGGCTTTGGCAGAGCCAATTAGCCAGACTTGTTTGTTTTTATTGTTAAAATCGACTGAATTTTAATTATTAGTGATTGCAGATTCACAGTCAAAATTTTCTTGTTATAAATTATCAATGTTAGTACTATATATACCTAATATTTATACATAAATTATATTTTGATATATTTTTTTGTTTCTTTTTTTTTATTCTTTTATTATCTTCTTTTTTTTTTGTTTTGTTTTCTTTTTTTGTTTTGTTGTTTTTTTTTGTATTTATTTTTGTTTTGTTTTTTGTTCTATATCTATTTTCTTAATTCTTTTGTTTTTTTTTCTTAATTTGTGTTACAATTTTTTTTTGTTTTTTTTTGTTTTTTTTTTCAAACCATATTAACATATTATGCCTATATACTATTTACGTCTTGTATTTACACATTTTAACATGTTTGTAAATGCAATGAAGAATTTCCATATTATTTGAAAATATTAAAAGATTAAGGTTTATTGGAAAACAACACTTAGAATTTATTAATTCCTTATAAAGTTCGTTTATGTTATTAATTTGCAAATCACATTCTAATATACTATGTGTTAGATCGCCTATTTTGCCACAAGTACAATTGGGAGTATTTGATAAGCCGATTCCATGCATGTAAGATGGCGTAAGAGCATGATTTGCTCGCAGCCGATTAATGGTCTTTATAAAATGTCGATTAGATTCTGTGTAGAACCATCTTCTTGAGGGTATCCTAGTGTTACAATGATAAAAATATAAGCCAGTCTTACATTCTGTGTAATGCAAATGCCAATTATTTTTAAGTTTTTGTCTACTAATGGTGTCAATATCTGTCAAATTTGCAGTTCAATGTGGTTTATGTGTTTGACTGTTTGTATGTTGTTAAATCTGTCTACTACGCTTTTACTGTCAGTAAATATAACATAGTTGCTAGTAGGATTTTGTACTACATACTGAAGAGCAAACAATATTGCCACCATTTCTGCTGTATATATTGAGCATTCACTGGGTAAGTTATACTGATGATGGCAATTATTATTTTCGTGGAACATTGCACAGCCCGTTCCATTTGCATCTTTTGACCCATCAGTAAAAATGTACTGATAATTTGTCCATTTTTCTTTAATAATTATATCAAACATTTTTGGGAGTAAATGTGAGTTTAAGTAACATATCATAACTTTTCTAGAAAATAGTGTTTTGGCCATTTCACCATAGTAGGGCGGAATTTGACTTTTATAGAGAATATCGTTGTATTTTACAGTACTTACATAGCTTTCTAACAAAGGTATAGATTTTTTAGTTCTCCAGTACCTATGGGTAAGCTCTAAAACTGATAGCTCATTAAGATCTTGAAGGTATTTACAATTTTTGGACATAATTCGGACTGTAAATTTGTCGCTAAGGAATTGGCGGCGTAAATGCAATTGGAGGTTCCACCGCTTCATTTTCCATTATTTGGACTGGAGTGGATTTTAAATAACCTAGGCATAATCTCAGGCATTTATTTTTTTGAACTTCAAGTTTGTTTAGATGTGTATTGGCCGCTGATCCAAATAAATGACAGTTATAGTCGAAAATCGGCCTAATCATGTTACGGTAAAACATCAAAGCAATATTTGGGTCTGCTCCCCAATTTGTTTTACAGAAAGCTCTTAAAATGTTTATTGAGTTTTCCGATTTTTTAACAATTTGATGAATGTGATCTTTCCATAACAATTTCCTATCTAGATACATACCAAGATACTTAATCCAGTTTTTTATAGGGAAATTAAATTTTCCCACATTAAGATTGCCTTGTGGAACTCTATGTTTTTGTGAAAAATAGCACACTTCAGTTTTTGTGTCAGAAATTGATAATCCTATTTCTTCATAGTACTGATTTACGATTTCTAATGTGACTTTTAAATTCTCCTCACAGGTACTTAACAATTTTCCTGCTGTATATAAAACAACATCATCAGCATATTGAAGAATATTTGTATGGTTGGGTATACTAACTTCAAGATCTATGTTATATAGGATATATAAAATCGGGCTTAAAATACTCCCCTGTGGCAATCCAATGTTAGTTAGTCGGGGGTATGAAAATTCCTCATTTTTAATTTTTAAAAAAGATAGTCTGTTAGAATATAAAGATTTTAAAAAGAGAGCAAATGATCTAGGGATTCCGATATACAACATTTTTTGGTAAAGAATGTCTAAATTGACATTATCAAAAGCAGCAGAAATGTCAAGGAACGCAGCTGCTGTAGACTTATTTGATGGAAAATTAAGCTGAATTGAAGTAACTAGAGCTGTAGTTGCATCTTGAGTGGACCTAGACTTGCGAAAACCATATTGGGAACTTGGAAGTATACCATCGTGTTCTAGCCAATGTTCAAATCTATTTTTAATTATTCTTTCAAATGTTTTTAAAAGACATGAAGATAAGGAGATAGGTCGGTAAGAACTTGGATCACGTTCTGGTCTGCCAGGTTTTTAATGGGAATTACCAGATACTCTTTCCAACTATTTGGTACTGGTGTCTTATTTGTCCAAATATTGTTGAAAATGTTTGTCCTAAGAGTTAAAACCAAAAAAAAAAACAAAAGTCATAATAATTAGTAAGGCAAGAATTGGAGAAGTATCATTTAGAATGTCAACATACACATATCTGAGTTCAGTATTAAAACGAGCAGTGCAGCGACAAATAAAATTATCATTGCCAGAATGATTACCACCATTCAATAATGGATAGGGACTGGAAGAAAAATTTATTTACCTGCTGTTCTGGTGACCCCTTCTGTATGTTATAAAATGTCCTGAATGTGCATCACCTGCGTGTACAACAACGGCGGCCAACTGATACACATTTCTAAATTCGTTGGCCATATCACTTAGAGAAGATCCAGTCCAGCATATCGGGGTGCTACTAGATAGGGGACTCCCTCCTTCACTTGTGCTTGTATATGTCTGAAAATAATAATAGTAATCACATTTGATCGATAAAAACATTTAATATGAGAAACTCTAAGTTAGTGCTTCTTGTGATAAGACAGACTATACTAAAAAAAAAAGAAATTGGGGAAGGTGACTCATTAATAGGTGCAAATCAAATACTCCGTTTACTAATAAGTAATATCGGTTCACATTTTAATAGTTCTTTGTACATTTTAATGGGTAATATACGGTCCTTTTCAGTGAGCCAGCTGTAACAACAGACATATTCACAATACGTTTGAGCATATTAAAATTTCGAGAAGACAATTTATCCGAATCCTAAATTATTTACTCTCTATCAGTGGCGTTTCATAAAGGCATATTAAAAGTATTTTCTACCCCGAAAATTGGATTTGCTTGAGATTTGAATTGATTTATTAAAAAAAAGTAAAATAGGTAGATAACAACGTCATTTTACATAATTTCTTTGGATAATTAATTGTCAACTACCAAACACACTGATTTTTAGTAAAAATGATTTTTATTCTAGTCATAAATAGACCTTCTCTGTATGTTAGAAAGTTAGTAAATATTTGAATAAATAATCCAAAAATGAAAATGACTCTGTGATTTAAATTATTTGAATCTATTAAATTATTACTTTAATCTATTTTAATACATGTTTGTACAACAACGTTCTCTCAATTCTTCCAGACACACACATGTCCCCCCCATTTGAGTCCAATTTACTTCAAACGGATTCAACATTGAATCAATAGTATATTGACGATATCTATCACAATGCTCTTTAATTATTGTCATTAATTCGGCTTTGTCCATATCCTCATTTTTTGAAAACGATATCCTGTTTAGAAATCGAAACGTCAAAACAAATGTAATTCTCATTACAATAAATTGTAATTTAATTCCATATAAATACAATATTTAAACCTAGGGAAGTAAGAAATTCACGGAATAACAAGACCCAGAGAGACATCACGATAGAATTAAATTATTTCGATAACGACGCCGCTGGAATTATGGAATTCTTCAATGGTTCACGGTGTCAGATTTCGATTTAGATAATGAGTCCAATATATTATTTGACTATCTTCTTCTTAAGGTTCTATCTTCTAACGAAGGTTGGATATCAACATGGCAATTCTTATTTTACTTACAGCAGCTCTAAATAGTTGGCTAGAGCTCAGACTAAACCATTCCCTTAGATTTCGTAGCCAGGAGGTTCGTCTTCTTCCTACATCTCTTTTACCTTTTATTTTGCCCTCTATAATCAAACGTAGTAGCCCATAACGAGGACCTCTTAATATATGACCGAAATATTCAAGTTTCCGCCTCTTAATTGTCTGTACAATTTCTTCCCTCTTATTAGCCCTATCAAGGACTTCAATATTGGTAATTTTGTCTACCCATGCTATTCGTAGCATCCTTCGATAACACCAACGCTCAAAAGCTTCCAATTTCTTAATCTCCAGTTGTTTCAATGTCCATGCCTCAGATCCGTAGAGCAAAGTTGTAAAAATGTAGCAGCGCAATAACCTTATCCTTAGATCCATTCTTAGGTCTCTACTACACAATAGATGTTTCATTTTTACAAATTTTGCCCTTGCTATTTCTATACGGCTTTTAATCTCTTGCGTTTGTTCTGCGTTTTGACTAACCAATGTTCCTAGATATTTGTATTTATCTACCCTTTCTATCTGGATATTATTAATATGGAGTGTCTCGTTGTCTTTTGGATGTTTTGTAATGACCATGAATTTTGTTTTCTTTAAGTTCATTTTAATACCATATATGGTACACTTTTCATTCAGCCGTTCCAGTATGTTTGTTAGACTTTGCAGAGTTGAAGTGAATATGACAGTATCATCGGCATATCTTATATTATTAATAATTTCACCATTTATTATCATTCCATCGTTACACTCTCCTAAAGCTTCTTGGAAAATGGCTTCGCTATATATATTAAACAGCAGTGGTGACAATACACAGCCCTGTCTCACACCCCGAAGAATTTCTATTTCTTCCGACATTTGATTTTCAATTCTTATTTTGACTTTCTGGTTCCAGTAGAGGTTCGAGATTACTCTGATGTCGCGGCTATCGATGTTTTTCATTTTTAAAATATTAATTAGTTTATTGTGCTGTACCTTGTCAAATGCTTTTTCAAAATCAATAAAACATGTATACATGTCTTGGTTCATATCCAGATTTCTTTGCATGAGCACATTTATACCGAACAATGCTTCCCTGGTTCCCGTGCCGTTTCTAAAGCCTAACTGACTATCACTAATTTCATCACCCAGCTTTCTGTAAATTCTGTTGTGGACTATTCGTAGAAATACTTTCAAAACATGGCTCATTAATGCAATTGTACGGTGTTCTGAGCATTCTTTTGCATTTTGCTTTTTGGGAATAATTACGAATGTGGATACTAACCACTCCTTTGGTAAAATACCTGTTTGATAAATATGATCATAAAGTTCTACCAGAATGTCTATCATTTCATCATCGATCAGTTTAAGAAACTCAATCGGGATTTCATCCGGACCTGTGGCCTTTTTCCCTTTTGTCTGTTTTAATGCGTATTGAACTTCCTGTTTTAAAATTTTTGGTCCCGATTCACCAGAGTCCTCATCTATGATTTGTTGTCTGTCATCCCCGAATAGTTCTTTTATGTATTCTGTCCATCTGTTTAGTTGTTGTTTTGTATCTGTGAGAATGTTACCATTCGAGTCTTTTATAACATGTATATTATTTTGTTTTCCCGACGTCATTTCCTTCACTTTCCGATGAATATTGAAACTATCATATTTCTTTTCATATTCTTCTATTTCGTGACACTGTTCAGTTAGCCATCTGTCTTTTGCTGTTATTATGTCTTTTCTAATCCTGCTGTTTAAGGATTTGTATTTGCTAGTGTTTATGTTTTTATATTTTCTTCTTTCATTCATGAGAGTTAGTATTTCGTCTGTCATCCACATATGTCTTTTCTTTGGTATTGGTCCACGTATTTCTTCTCCCGCTTCTTTTAAAGCTTGTTGAACCTCTCTCCAATTTTCATTTACGTCTTTAGAGTTGGTGTTTTTTGACTTGATGGGTTTAAGATTATCATTGATTTTCTGTCTAACTCTTTGTTCTATCTGAGTATCTTTTAATCTTGTCACATCGAATTCTTTTCTAATCTTATTATTATTCTAATCTTATTATTTGACTATAGTTGGCGGTTTTTCGTTACCCTGACAGATTTTTTTTTTATAAATTCTGTGCTGTTCTAAAGATTGTTACTATGCGGAAACCTTAGTCTTAAAATTCCCTATTTTTCATCAAACACGATCCTATTCTATGTGAATTTCCCCTTAAGAATCCATTTTATACAGCCAGATGGGATAGGATTTTCAGCAACAGTAATTTTGACAGGTTTATCAAATTATGTAATCAGGAAGATTGGAATAATATTTTTTGCTCCCCTAATTTACTTTATCAATTTTATCACACTTTCTTGAAGATTTTCAGTTTAGCATTTCAAAAAAGAATTCTTAAATCGAAAAGTAAGAAAAACTTGGGTTGCTAACGGAATTTCCTGCAAAAACTTAAGATCGTTAAATTACATTAAAAAACATAACATATAATATGCAATGATGAATTTTTGATATATTTCTATAAATATAGGTCCATATATAGGAAGGTTGCTAAATTAACCAATTTTATATTTTTTAAATCTAGAATGGAAAATGCCAATAATAAACAAAAGGAATCTTGGCGTATAGTTAATAATCTTAGAGCTACTAAGTTCCCAAACTACTGATATAGTCTTAAGACCCTAGTGAGATAAATAAATATTACTACTCGGTAGGTCCGGAACTCGCTGGAAAAATTAGTTCTTCTTCTAATTCAATGCATTTTTTAAATGGAGTAAACATTACTACAAACTCCTTCTATTTTTCCTGCATCTAAAGTTTTATCCCTTATTCCTGATAATGTTCTAATAATTTTAGCGGAGGCAATTAACACATCTTTTTCAACGGGTCACTTTAGCGATTATTTAAAATCTGCTAAGGTTATTCGTCTGTAAAATGGTGGTGATCACGATTTACCTGCTAATTATCGTCCTATCTCTTTGTTACCGACGCTTTCAAAGGTTATAAAAAATTGGTAAAAATCCGAATGATGACACTCTTACAAAAACACAATTTACTTTTTTCCTTCCAATTCGGTTTCCATTAAAAAGTACATATTATGCCATCTTCCAATTCATGGAAAAACTATACTTGGACTTACATAACGATTATGTTGCTGCCGCAGTTTTCTGTGATCTATCTAAAGCTTTTGACTGTGTCAATCACAATTAATTGTGTAGTACCTCGAGGCTCTGTCTTGGGTCCTATCTTTTTCTTGGCATATTTTAACGATATAACTAACCTCGACATTAATGGCCAGTTTACTATATTTGCAGATGACACCACAAGTTTATGGCAAAACAAGGACTCAAGGTACTGAATAATATTACTAATAGTGATATGCTAAAAATCTTAGAGTGGTGCAAAGCATTTGACATTTAATTTTTCAAAAACCAAATTAGTTTCTTTTAAGAATGATCTAAACAACATTACTCTGGCAATGAAGGCATTTGTTCTGACACAGTAAACAAATTTTTAAGTCTCTATATTGATAATAAACTTAAATTTGAGCAACACACAGTATGTTTAAGCAAAAAGATATCATCGGGTTGCTTTGCGGTCAAATCAGTTGCTCACCATTTAGATTTCAAGATTGCAAAAAGTGTTTATGTGGCCCTGATTGATTCTAATTTGAGATACGGTATTGCCTTTTGGGGTAGCTGTTCTGTACATCATTTCAGTAGAAATTTTATGCTACAAAAGAGAGCACTCAGATATTTATGCAACCGGAAACATGGTATCTTGACACTTCCTTGCGTGTAAAACCTTAAATTAGCGTGTTTAATTTTTAGAAAATATAAAGATGATATTAGGACAGATTTAAAACAATAAATTGCTCTCTCTCTTTCTCTCTTGAAATATTTGTTAATCGATTGGGAAAAACTGCTACCAAATTAATAAGCACCAAATTTAAAAACACAAAATCTTTATCGTGACTTATTAAAAATAAGCAATTCCCTAGTACACTATATTATAATTTATATTAATCAAAAATGCAGGAAAATACAGTCAAGTTATCTTTATGTGTAAAAATGCGAGTGTGTTTAAATGTGATTTTGTGTGTATACTCCATTCCACGAATATACGACTGTTTTAAATTTGCTTAAAGTTGTCTATTTAAATGGTCCAATGTACTGAATTGTACAATAGTAAATTCTCCCCATTTTTAAAATACTGTTACGACAGATATAAACCTTAGATTTAAATATGAAGTCATAATATAAATATAAAGTTAATACTTTATAAAACAGTTGTAATTCAGATTTTGAAGTATATAATTACTATCATGGAGTTTATTTGTTCATTTCAATTATTTCATTGTAAACAAGTTGGTTTTTGAATTATGTGATTTAAACGAAATGTAACAATACTTAAGTGATCAAATAGTGTAAATTTTTTAGTCGAATATTCAATTAATATTAAAAAAATAAAAAAACTTACTTATTCACTTATTCAACACTAACAAATCGTTCTGCGAATCGAACACATCGTTCTGCCAATTTCTTTTCATTTATATTAAAAATAGTATATTTCTTTTTACTACAGTTGTAAAACCTAATAAAGTAATGAAATGTGTTATATCAAAGAAACCCGGCACGCCTCTTTGGTGTTTACATTTCACGGAAAGCTTACCCAAATGTCTGATGAACACATTTGGCTTCATAGACGTCATTGTATTTATTTGTAGATTTTAACTGAAATAATTTTAGTTTAGATGTCATACTGGTAGACCCTTTTTATTGGAATAATGATTAGACCAATTGACCTTCATACTTCTACTTGCACAGTAAAATATTCGTTGTCGCAGTAAACCAAAACAGTCGTATATTCGTGGAATAGCCTATATTGTCTGAATGGTAGTGAAAGAGTGAATGAATGTATAATTCTTTCTAAGAAACAAGGAACTTTACAAAGAGGGTCTGTCTTTTGATTATATCACGACGCGTGACGTATAATATGACATTATAACCGCCCACGCATCTGAATTTTCAGCAAAACAACATTCATTGACTATTGTTCATTTTTCAACAACATTGTTCGATAGTGGATGGTTTTCTACATAAGAGAAATTTTGACTAACTATGAGGGGAAACCTAAATAGCAAAAAAGTATGTTGATATTTCAACAGCCACTTGATAAATGATAAATTATGTAACTGATAACTTTTCAAATAACCAAGCACTTGTTAACACAATATGGTTATTGGCAATTTATGATTATAATAAATTATCTACTTACAGAATTATCAAATTTTCGCTTATAATGAATTTGAATAAAAGTATACGCCGACATGGAAAGCCTCATTGGAAACTGTACATAATCTTGTCTCTTAGATACTCCACTACTCTGCCATGTATTTCTTGATATATGAAGACATAGACATATTGGTAACTAAAAACGAAACAAAATTAATTTAAAAATCAAAAACAAGAAAAGTATAATTAGACACTTTAGAATGTACTGAGTTATTTCTCATGTATTTTTAGGGTTTGACCAGAAAATTATAACGATGGAATAATATATGTGTATTTATTGGAGGTCCAAAGCCAACTTCTTAAAAACTATATTCTGTGTATCATAATGCTTGTCTAAAAATAGCGCACTTATAGTATTTCGATTAAGCGGGACATGCTGATTCCAAAAATATACATATACTATAAGAAAATCACCGTTTGGCCGCAAAATGTAAAAGAGCTGTAAATTTTTCATTTCGATTTTTCCTTTTTCCCGCCAAACTGTGGGTAGGGGATAGGAAAAAAACACATGTTTGGAATAAGCTGGATCAAGTACATATACCAACGTCAATAAAAAATGACCGAAATAAAGAAATTAATTTTAACGTTAATTAAAGTAATACTAAATCGTAGAATAATCTCTTATCTTATTCTCATACTAGATTAATGATGTATTATATTAATGATAATAATGTAAATTAAAATTAATGAATACCTGTTTACCTACCTTACCAAAATTGAGAATCTTGACTTGTTTTGACAAAATTGCTGGCCTGGCAGGATCCCTACCCCTATTACATCCATCACAATGTACATCATTTACAACCTCTGGAGTAACAAAATTATTCAGCAGCTGATGCAACTTATGACGGCCCCAACCGAGATCTCCAGCACTGCTTGGCAATGCTAATGATAAACTTTCAAATTTATCATATCTAACCGCAGACTATAAACAAAACATCACCATTATAAGAAACAAAACAAGATCTTATACTTAAAAATAATATTATTAGCATATAATTCACAAGAAAAATGAAATTATTGTAGTTGGCTGTATACCATGAATAACAAAAATGTTGATTTAAAAAAATCCTTTATAAAAGGTATATATTTTATGTATATTAGTAAGTAATAAATTAGTAAGTAATATATTAGTAAAGATATATACGATTAGGTAAAAGTTTATGGTCGGTATAGTAGAATTTAACAGGATATCTAACACAGATATAAAATCATATTTTCATCGAATAGACAAAGATAACAATCATATTTCCCCTTGTTCTCTCCTCCACATTCCTCATGCACGCCCATTAGTGAACGCCAGACGATTATTTCTGATCCAGCTTATACGTAAGAAACAGCGACAGGGTTGCCTTATTACATATTGGAATTCAAACATTGAACTGATTAAAAAAATGACGACCAATGGCGCGGTTATATTGCCGTTACGTGTCATTAGTACAGGCGGTACAATAAAATGGCCCCTTGGTCACCCGACTTAGTTCCTCCAAATTTTTATTTTTGGGTGATGCTAAAAACGAAATTGTACAGGCATGAATTCGAGCGAGCCACCAACTTGGAGGAACTGAAGGAAAAGATAATCCAACGTAGCCAAAACATATCGGCAGATAAACTTAACGTCATGAGAAATGCGTTGTATAATAGATTTGGTTACTGTTTGTTACAATTTCGTGCTATGTTTGAACATTTAATTACCTAAGAATTTTATTTGGTTTAGAATTTCTATCTGTTTGGAATTATCTTTAATTTAAACAGTAGTGTTGGAATTATTTTTTATTTGATTTCATTTTTATAGAACAAATTTTATACTTTTATGCTAATTTTATCCTTTTTGTTTCATTTTTATAGAACCAATTTTTATTTTCACACCTACTACCTCCAAAAAATCTAAACGAAAATATGGTTTCAAAGATATTATTTGGAAAATACCAAATCATATCTTATTTTTAATTAAAAAGACGTAATTTTTCGTCCAGTTTAAATTTACACACTTACTCCTTTTTAATGCTGTACTAGTACTGTCTTAATTTATTAAGCTTTATAAAAGACCAACCTACGAACTCATGCAATATGCATGGCATACGAAACTAGTTCTGTTCTCCTCGTTACCACAGTATTAAAATCAAAGTGACGTTACTTTGACGACGCGACGTTACCAAATAATTTTTTATGAAGCTTTTTTATTGTAACGTCATAAGGCAGTTTATTCTTTTTATTTTATTTATATAAAACGATTTCCGAAATGGAAATCAAAATGTTCAACTTGTAAAATTGTAAAGTAAAATTGTGGCATATTCCCAATAAAAAAGAGTAAGCTGCCATTTAAATCAATTCGCTCAAATTTGATTACCTTAGAACATTGTTCAAATGCTAAAAAGACACAGGTCAAATAAAACCAATAAGTTTGGCAACATTGAACTTCCCCTCTTCTGTTGAATTTATTATTTCCTCTTATGCATTTTTGACGATATAAAGGGCAGACCTAATATACCTCTCTCTTTTTAAACAGGTCTTTGTCACTCCATCTCACGTAAGGTCCATATTGACGATAGATTATTACCCAGGCTGTATATTATAACTAGTTGCTACCTAGAGTTTATAGAGAGACATTTACTTAGGGGTCAGCAACCCCTGAGAGTTCTGCGTTGTCATGCAGTAAATCTGCTTAAAACTACATCATTTGTATTTATCAACAAATAGTATTTTATCTTTCCATTTCTCTTTTATTTTCCATTCATTTCTTTACTTCCTGCAGTTCTCTCTTGCTTTATTTTATTTTTGGTTTAAATGTTGATTACATGTTATATTCTTCTATTCCTCATCTATCTATCCATGACTAGAAATAGGCATCTTTCTGACTTTTTTGATATCTCCAGTTTTTTCCAGCTATTTTTCAAATATCATCCACTCATCTTGCAGATGGCCTTTCGACATTTTTCTTAATCAGATGTGGCCTTCCTTTTATCACCCTGAATTACATCTGACTTTTATTCTACTTCTAATATGTGAATTCTTTATTACTGCATCCATTATGATTAAATATAATAGTAGATTCCGGCTATCGCTTTGTTTTGTTTCCTTTGGTTATCATAATTTCATTCAACAGCTGCCACAAATTTGTACTCTGCCTCTTACTGTCGATCATATGAATTATAATTTCTAATAATTTTGATCTCTCTAATGAGTTAAAACCTGTTATTATTTTTTTTAAGCTGAATATAATAATATCATTTGTTTAGTTTTTGGTCTAAACACAGGTTGTTCTAGTATTTATTTTGATTTTTCCTATATTTCAGAACTTTTTTCCATTCTATGATTCTTTAATTTATTTATTATCCAATATTTAATTAATTATATTAACTTATCAATTTTCCTGATCAGTAGAAAAAGAAAAAATCAATACTATAGAGCAATAATATCTACATAATTATACATCTAAAAAATTTAAAGAATACCTTAAATCCACACACAGTGCACCTTAACTGACTTGTAAGTGTTCCTGCAAAAGGATGACTGAGAGGTTGCTGAGGAGGCCCTGTCATTTGTAGAGCTCTACAAGATCTAGATATCCACCTATTTCGTCTAATAGCACCTCCACGCCAACCTGCACTCATTGGTCTACACAATTCATTTAGAGACATGACACTACCCAATGAATCAAAATCTCTAGGTTCTTCATGATTATCTTCAATTTGTAAGTCATTCATGCCTAGTGCGTCAGATAAACAACCAGCCTAAAATGTTAAATATATCCTGATTATATAATTGTTTTCTAATAAAAATATAGAGAAATTAATTATTTTTTTAATAAGAATATGTGGTAGGTATAATTATTTTTTAAAATGCTATGAAAAGACAGATTATATCATACATAAGTAAGCACAGTATATAATCAGTTACAGAAAAACATAGTAGACCAGTGGAAGCTATGCTAAATGAATAAATTACATTAAAAAGAAAAAAATAAAGATAGAATTATTATCACCATCATGACCTATACTCACAAGTCTGTGAGGAAAAAAGCCTTCCTCACTAACAGCATGAGCAATGATGAATCATTGATGAATATTGACTGTTTTCAGTTTGAATGTTTGGATATCCTATATAAAATCTAAAATTAGGAAGTAGGGAGTGGTAGTATAATAGCAGCTACCATACTGTAGGGTAGGGCTTGAATTGGCTATACTTTAAAAAAGAATGTGATACATTTTTAGTAAAAACTACATTGATGTTCCCATTTTACATTTAAGGAAAAACTACTATTTTTCATAAAATATATCACAGAAGATTATTTAATAGCCATATAAATAAGAGAGTTAAAACCTATAAATAAGAAATCTAAATCCAATTGCTTAGAGGATTAAGAATATATTTTTAATAAAATTTATAGTAACTTCTAGGAATAATTTTATGTTGCTGGGTGTATGGATATACAATATACATGGCAGTTACCTTTCTTCCAATCTTCTGTGTTTCTTCATCTAATGTAGTCAAAATTACATTAAGTAATTCATGGGCATCCTGCTCACCTGCAGGGATAACCCATCCCAATCTTTTCAGTGCATTAATAACTGCAGCAGGTGCATATGTTTCTTGTACAGCTTTATTTGTACCATTTACCACTAAAACATATTTATTAATATCTCTTAAAATCACAGTTACTTTAAATAAAGTTTTTTAATAGATCCAAATTAATGTCTGTATTTTTCACTTTTTCTTTATAAAATTGTATGCAATCATGATCTATAAATATTATAACAAAATATGTACAGGTCAGAAGAATAGAAGGTAAGGACATTATAACAAACAGAAAAATACCATAGGTTACATAGTAATGGAATAAATGTAACAACCATGTAAATGTAAAAGCTATCTACTAGAATTGATATAAAAACTATTAATAGCTTTTTGAACTACTAATAATTTGCAACACATTAGATACTTACAGAGGTACTTAGTCAGCTTTACATGAAATTTCAGTTTGGCTACAATTACATAAATGGAGGATGCTAGTTAGTGAGTAACTACAGTCTGAACTAAATGTAATTTAGAAAGTATCATAAAATACCATTCATTTTGAGTAAGTGCTGTAAAAACCTTATTTGTAGAGTAAAACAAATGACAGTTTTACAACGAAGCTGTTAAATAGTTGTTAAATAGTGTTTTTTTTTGTTGTTGTATGTGAAAATAGTTAGCTACTTTGTGTATGTTTAATAAAAACAGCTTTTAATTGTAGATTTACATATATGTAACACTAGGCTCTTTGGAGAATGTGTTGTTTTCAACCTTAAAAAAATTATTATTACTCTTTATTTCTTTCTAGACAAGGCTTAACTCTATAAGAAGCGATATAATTCGCATATATAGATGATATAGATGAAATCTTCATTGAGTCTTCTGGTGCCAGTGAATTAACGAATGAAGAGTCTGAAAATGAGGATGAGGGAGGCACTTTAGACAATCTAACTGAATAGACAACTACATTTTGAATTTTACCAAGGTAAACAAAAAGATACATATCTAAATATTGAATTGGAATCTGTTCAAAGAAGTGGTGGTGGTGTATCTTCACATGGCTCATTGATACAAGTATTAATAATAGCTTGATACTCTACAACCACTACTATCCCAAAATTTCCCAATTAGAAGCAGAAGTGTAGCAAATATGATGTAGGAATTTGTATTGACTGCAATTATACTTTTGATATGAAGACATTCTAGTTGTAATATAAATGTCATTGTGTTTCTTAAGAATTTATTTTTATGTTAGTTACGGTACTGTAATGATCTAGCCTTACATTTATGTAACACATGTTTTTTTGTTAGTTAATAGGTTTTTGGATTGCAAAATTGTTAATTTGTCTATTATTATACATTTTTAATAAAACTATATTAGTTTCTTTAATATTACAAAAAAAGTTCATGTCATAATGGGTTAATAACTGTCGGATTTCTAAGAAAAGGTTGTACTACCACTTTAGCTCTTTGGTGATCTGTTCTTCTTTGTAACATTAATAGATATGTGATCAAAATATAAACTTTAAAAGTATATGATGAAAATATGTGACAAAAATTAGTCTTAATATTGTTAAAAAGTATGTAAGTATATGAGTTTGAACACTGTTATGAACATTTTACATGGATATTTAGTTCTTATTTATTGTTACTTTAAATATAATCCTAGATGTAATTTTTTACTACAATAAGTAAAACTGAACTTTCCATAATTACTTATATGTTTGTTATAAAATTAATGATTTCCAAAGTGTAAATTGAAATGTCAATAAACTTATTTTAACCTTCAATTGTGGCTTATTCCCATTAAAATAGTAATTAATGTTATGCAAATAAAAATTAATGATAAGAAATCAAGAAAAAAGAAAAGACCACAAATAAATCATAAATATTACAAATATGTTGAAAAATACACAGTGAACTGAAAGTACACAGTGAGAAAAGTATGAATGATTATAAAAACACTTATTGGTTGAACTAAATATTAACAAATCCAGAGAACTGTTTATCCTTCTTTGATTTTAAAACTGGCTTCTATGGTATAAATAAATACTAAATGTTAAAAATTGCATTTGAGATAAAATAATTAAAGGAAAAGTATTAAGAACCTCCAAGAAAAAAAAACCGGAAGAACAACATATTTTGAAAATGGATTGAAACAATGTTGACAATCTTTAATACCCTGTTTAACACTGCGTCCAAAAGCATAGCAATAAACACAAAAGTAAGTGAAAACAATAAATTGTTGTATCATTACATAAAAGATGAAAAAAATTGATATATTTACAATATAAATAATGACGAAAATTCTTAAACAAAAATGAACTAATTAAGGAGGGCAGCCAAACAGAGGGATTTATATAAAAGACCACATTTTAGTCAGAAAATTAATTTGGGTAAGATACATAATTAGATGATCTACAGAGAAGACAAGTCACCAAAGTGGATCAATTTAAGACTAAAAAACAGAGAAAGTAAGAAATAAAAGAGACTGTCTTGCATTTGCTGTAATACAACAACATTGAACTAGAATAATGTTGATAATCTTTGTCATTAAGTTTTCTAATACAACTACAAACTATATTTTCATACAAAGTAAGAGGTATTTTTTTATGTATCCAAATAATTTTATTTTATATCAACCAATAACTCGTTAACATTCATTAACTACAGATTTATTTAAAAAATAGCTACCTGAAATTACTGTTGCTAATGTACTACGAAGACTAGTTTCTTTTACATATTTATCCTTTTCTAGCCAAGTAATGAAACTGGGGCAAGCAGCTAAAGCATGAAGTATGGCATTCAAAAAACAAGTCTTGCCAAGATTTACCAAGCCAGCTAGTCTACCTCGACCGCCACCAGAAGTGGGAGAAGGGCCCCAAAAGACAAATGCTCCTACTACTGCAGCTGCTGTAAGTCCTGCAGCTACTAATATTCTATCAGATTCCATCTTTGATAAAATATTACATAATCGTTCCAACGTTCATAAAAATATATACCATAATTGTTTAGAACGTTGATACCATATCACATTTTATACAATTTATTTTTAAGTAGTAGTTATAGAAATATTACAATTCAAAAGCTATCAAAATCAAATATTTGACAGGAGAAACAGTTCGGTAATATGACATTGACATTTGTCATTTACCAGATGATGTTTGAAGTTTGAAGTGTTTGAATTTGAAACTTTATATAATCGAGATCTGTGTCAAAATCGTCATCAAGTCAAAATATAAAAAGAAAAACAATTACAGTTGTATTTTATAAAACGTGTTTGCTCTAATAAATTTAAACTTAGGAACCATATAAGTTTCCAATGGTAAACAAACATAAATAATAGAAAGAAGTATTATTTAATTCTGGAGGAAACATGTCTAAAAATTGTCTATTCTAAAATCACTGTCAGTGTCAGATGTCATGGTCTGCCTCTGCCACAAAAATAATATTAAAAAAAAGATAAGAAATGATTCATATTTTTGTTTGTTGATGCATAGTAGACTTCATACCTAAAAAGAAATTGTGCATGTCTAATCTCGATCAAAGTGAGAGTGACTTTGAAGCCGTCTCCGAAACAACAAGACTTATGGACGGTCATGTTGCTACACATAGCGGTAATTCATCGTCAGATTTAAACCATGGACAAGATGTACCAAGGAAAAGGAGTAGGCGTTCTGAAAATGTTGAACAAAGGCCTGAGAGTACTAATCGAGGCGAAGGAGGGCATGGAGATTATGTTATTCCATCTTCAGCAGGTGCCATGAGTTTAGATGATGAAGAAGAGTTAAAATATGGAGCAAAACATGTCATCAAATTATTTGCTCCAGTATCACTTTGCATGGTGGTGGTAGTAGCTACCATCAGTGCAGTGAATTTTTATTCTGTTAAGGATATGTACTTGTAAGCAGTGTTAATGCAAGTTGGTTAGCAGTAACAAAAATAAATTCATATCTACCTCCATCCAAACCCAAACACTATCTTTAACTTCTGTTATTCTTTGTTTCAAGTTAAGAAAATAACATTACGCTTATGGAGATCAGTGTTGCCAAAACTCTCAGACACTCTCTTTTGCACGGATGTCCAAGATATTCCCTTTGCTTAATTTTTGAATTTTCATTTTCAATTAACATTTAACTGGAAAGTCAGAATAACTACTAAATAAAAGCCTTATTATCATTATGTAGTCAGAGAACGACATAAAATAGTTGACATACGCACATCGTATTATTTTAAGTTGCAATTAGTAATTAGATATACGCATTCCAAGCGGTCAATATTTTCTACTGATTTCTATGATTCATGGCATATCGTATTCTCACCGAAAAACAAATAAACTGTCGTTACTATAGTTAAAATAAGATAAAATAAAATTATCTTTTGTAAATACTATTTATCTAATTAAAATCATTTTCCCTACTTTTCATCTCTTGTTTCGAATGGGCACTTTTGGTCAATTACGTTAAAAAACATTAATTTAATTCATGTTTGTGGAAACAAAAATACAAATTACACAACCCTAAATTGTACTTGTGTGTGTCGTGGCAACGCCGCGTTGCTATCGTCCATAAGAAATACATGGCCCTATCTCCGCAATGTTATTTTCTAAACGTGGAACGTGGTATAGCTCACTTCACTTTTGTTACTCTCATTTATCGTCTCATTAGCTCTATACCAAGAACCTAATAAATAATGTAAATAATAATTTAAGAGTACTCTAAACTTCTTTTTAGCTATCTCTAAAAATGTTATGATTCCACAGGTTTCTCTAAGTATTGAGAACATTTAGTTTATTGTATATCACTATATCATTATTGTATATCTTTTTTAGTGATTAAACCCTTTAATTTTTCTTTGAACTTGAATAACTCAGCTGATTGTAGTATAAGTTAGCTGTTATTTATCCTTATCATAATATTTGTATTTCTATTTCTAAAATGCTGTCTCTATTTGTAAATTCAACAGTTGTCAACTGTCTCATTAATGTATTTCATAAAGAGGAAATAATAATATTAAATTTTTTCTTGTATATGTAACAAAATTGTATTGTTTTATGCTTTATTTACATAGGATCCATATCATATTAACTATTGTAGGAGTCAATATGCTATTTCATTCTAATAAAGAATTTTTTGGATAGAGATCAGCTGAAGAATTTATTTTTGTAACTCTGCATTGGTGTAACATTTTTTAAAAGGTAAACAATTTTAGGGTATATACTCCTTTTCATGAAGAAAGTTCAGAACTGGGTACCAAGGCTTGGAATGCTGCAGCCAATGCCATGATTTTAATGGCAGTAATAGTGCTAATGACTGTACTGCTTATAGTTTTATACAAATATAGATGCTACAAGACTATACATGCTTGGCTCATTGTATCTTCATTAATGCTCCTTTCTATTTTTTCATATTTATATTTAGAGTAAGTATATCACTTTCTTCTATATGTCTTAAATGTATTTCTAAAAAGCAATAAGATGCTGTAACAGTGTAAGTGAGTGTCTTAAGTCCAAAGTCCCACGTCTAGAATTATTTGTTCCTAACTTGTGAAACTTTGGAAATGACCAAGTTGTAGTGCCCTTCCAAAGTTCAGCTGGTTGCTACTGATAGTCTTAAACTACTATTATACATATAATGTTGTACGAAATGTAAACAATTTAGAAACTGACTGGATTTTTCCATTTTTATAATGTTATTTTTAAAGTTTTGTTTCACTTTTACAATCTTTCTTTAGGTATATTAAGAGACAGTTTGTGATGTCCCATTTTCACATAGCTGCTAATTTTTTTTAGAAAATTTTTAATATTTTTAAAAAGCATATGCACACAATTGGATTAGTATCTCAATTTTATGTATTTTTATTTACTCAAATACAATATTCTAATATTTTTTAGAGAAATTTTAAGAGCTTACAATATCCCAATGGATTATCCTACTTTAGCGTTTCTAATGTGGAATTTTGGAGTGATGGGAATGATAGTGATACATTGGTTAGGTCCATTAAAATTACAACAAGCTTACCTGATATTTGTTGCTGCTCTCATGGCCTTAGTATTTATTAAGTATTTGCCAGAATGGACAACATGGACAGTTTTGGCAGTTATATCAGTATGGGGTGAGTTTAGTTTAAACAGTTTATTATTTTTTATTCCTAATAAGCTTTAGAAGCCCAAGGTAAGGTTTTAGCTAGGTACCTATAAAGTATTCATTTTCATTTATTCATTCATATTTATAATAACACAACTTTATAAAAATTTCTAAATGTCTCTACTGGTAACTCTTGTTCACACATCATAGTAAACTAGACAAATTGTGTAAATATAAAGGGTGTTTGACCATGGCTTATGTGGATGGACAATGCAGCACAAGATGCCAGGAAGATTAATGTACTTAGTTAAAAAATTCAACACTAAATCCAAGATAATGGATAATTTGAGACATTTGTGGATGTTAATACTGTGATTATAGGATAATATTACAATTTATGTCGATTAATTTAAGAAGTTAAAAGTAATTTTCAAAATCCTAGTTTTTTGTAGCTATATACATATAATTCTGTGATATTTCTCTAGATCTGTTACTCTATGTACATGTTTTTAGTTTATAAAATGTTAAAATAAAATAAAATAGTAAAAGATGTTATATTTCCTTTATTTCAAACAAATAAAATCTTAAACTGTGTATATATCAGTTTAAAAACATTAAAGTAACAAAAACATTAAACCAGATTACATTTTTTCAATATATTTTTGGTCCTGTCAGACCATCATCAGTGAAAACTAAGGGTATTTGCTTAAAAACCCTTCACAAGACAGTGTAACATTTTTGAATGAAAATATTAAAATTTAAGCTACACAATGTTGATATTATTAGATTTAACTAAAAGGGAACATATGGCCCTTACTTGAAACACTGCCCACATGTGGATCTTACAGAAACAGGAAATAAAATATAATTAGATAAAAAAATATATATCTCATAAGACTTAAAGCTTAAACTTAATATATTATGCCATTCAGTTTTTTTAAGGATTCCTATTATATTCTTCTAATATTGCATTGAAAAAAGCAATAATAAAATTTTAATAGTTTAATTATTATATTATAAATACATTTTAGTGTATGTAATTAGTAGTCATCATCATCATCAAGGCCTTTCATTCCATCAGGAATGTTAGCTGCTCTTACTTAGAGCTCTCTGATTCGCATATTGTGATGAATCACTCCACATTCTTCTTGTGTATTGTCAAAGTTTGTTGTATGACTTCACTTACATTTTTCCCTCCTGGATATGTGCATAGTTCCCTCCAGTTTCTCACTTTTCATCATCATCATTGGTGCTACAGCCCTATAAAAGAGCCTTGGCCTTCATAAGTCTATTATGCCAGTCAGTTCTATCCATTGCCAACTGTTGCTAGTTTCCTGTGCCTAATTTTTCTACCCTCCTCATCTACACCATCCCTCCATCTGAGTTTTGGCCTACCCCTACTTCTACTTCCCACAGGTTGTGACATAAGGATTCATCTAGGAGGGTTGTTCTGCTGTGAGCTTGCCAGATGTCCTGTCCATCTTAGTCTTCCTATTTTTATACGAGATACTATGTCTTTACCACCAAATATATGTTTATATCTGTGATATATCTGGTAGTTGTAACTCCTTCTCCAAACACCATTTTCACAGATGCCACCAAATATTCTTCTCAGGATTCTTCGTTCAAATATAAGCAGGTTTTCATCTGCCTTGGAAATGGTCCACGTCTCTGATCCATATGTCAACACTGGTTGTATAAGCGTTTTGTATATGAATATTTTTGTTTTTGTTTCTCACTTTTAGGATTTTTATATCGCTCATGACCTGCCATTTCCCTAGAGTATAATAGACCAGCATTTCTGTCACCTAAAGAAGGCGTTTGACAGAGTAAGACCCAAAGTTGTAATCCATCTTCTGTATAATAGAGAAGCTCCCCTAAATATTATAAAAACTTTCGAAAACATCTATCAAAACAACAAAATGGAAGTCAGAATAGATGGACAACTTACAGAACATATAGAAATGGGCAAAAGAAATCAAGATACTCTGTTACACAGACGACGCAATATTGATAGAAGAAGATGAAGATAGTCTGCAAAGACTGGTCCACAGATTTAACATAAGAGCAAAAGAGTTTAATATGTGAATCTCATCTCAGAAAACTAAAATAATAGTAGTTAGCAAAGAGCCAACCAGATTTAAAATAGAAGTTGATGGCATCAGTAATGAACAAGTAATGGAAATAAACTACCTGGGAATTACACTGTCTAGCTATGGAGAACCTGGACAAAGAAGTGAGAGATCAAGTACAAAAACAAATAGACAATAATTTTATATGGCAAAACAGACACATTAACACAGATGAAATCAAGAATTTATAAAGACAGTGTAAGCCTAATAATGCCTCGGAAACAAGACTCGACACAGCAATAACGCAAAAGCTACTTGAAACGGCAGAGATGAGAGTACTCAGAAGAATTACAGGAAATGCGCTAAGAGATCGAAAGAGAACTGAAGACATTAGAAGAAAATGTAACATACAGTGTATAAATGAATGGACACAAAATAGAAAAAAATAATGTAATAACCACATAAGCATAATGGAGGAGACCTGCGTCGACCTGCGCAAAAGATAAGTCACCAATCAGCACAAGCATCGGACGACCGCGCAAAAGATGGAGTGACAAACTTCTATAGAGGTATTAATCCGCCAATGAACGAGCAGAATTGCTTATAAAGAGAAAGAAGAAAAGAAGAAGTTTAATAAAGTAGTAAAGTAAATTTTTGTACATAAGGCAACATCTCATTGTAGTCATAAGACAACAGTTAATTCCACTGCAATTCAAATGAATGAAAATTTCAGAAGTTTAAAGGTATAATAGGGCAAATCGATGCCAAAAAATTACATATCTGCATTCAATGAAAATGGCATTCAAAATTGTTCGCATAGATGTCCAGTACTATAAAAAAGCGATCAAAGTTGCTAAAACTTTGGGGTACCATGAACATGATTTCAAAACTTGAAATGGCTGGTTGCAGAAATTTTAACTTGGTCAAGACATCAATGGCAAGCATAATTTGTCGAAAATTGTCTTGCAAAATTAATCGACACTAACAGAATTTAAACATACCAACTTAAAATTAAGTCTGTCGTCCAAGTCACAATAAAATAAGAAAATTAATTTGTAATTTTTCGTGTTGTTATAGGTTCGACTGTACTTTGATATGTATAAAATATGGAAGTACATACATAAAACAAAAAGGATTCTGAATTCATGAATAAAATAAGTTCATTAGTTTGAGAAAGAGCAAGAGATACTTTACTAATTTGTTTACTATTTACGATTTAAATTTATGAGCATGAAACTGACTTAATTTCTTGTCTTTCTTATGACGTAACTGAATGTTATTATTGACGTAATGAAAAATTTAATAGATTAAATTGTTATGTCATATATTACAGTATGATTTCATACTTATATACTAAAATTGTAATTCTTTATTTTAGATTTAGTTGCAGTATTATTACCTAAGGGACCCTTGAGGATATTGGTAGAAACAGCGCAAGAAAGAAATGAGCAAATATTTCCAGCTTTGATTTATTCGTGTAAGTCTTACTTTTTTTTTAACAATCATCAACTATTTTCAGTCGAGTTGTTAATGAAAATTTAAAATGTATGATGTCACAGACACATTTTCGCCTAGGTCAGGGAGAGATAACGAAGTATAAATACTAAGCAAATATGTTATTGTCGTTTTTCATAGTTTCACTAAAAACTAATTTAAAAACTTTATAATAATGTTGTATATATTCTTTTAACGTTTATGGGATTAGTTCTCTAAGTACAATAATAGAGAGTGCCCAGTTGACAGATGACAACACTAACTTCGACCGTTCTCTTGATTCTTCATTCTTAATAATAATCCTAATCCCGTGATTTCCAGCTATTTAACTCATGTGCGTTTGTTGATATAATATTGATTTTTATTTGTTTAATTTATACACGTTATTTAATAAGCTTTTGATTACATTGCAAATTTCACTAGGTCAGCGTGAGTCCTCGTTACAACGATATTTTCAATGTCAAATTAAAATTAAAAAGGTTACTTAGATCTGATCCCAGTGGCGCACCCAGGGGGCTGGCTTTGGTTGTTACCCCCCCCCCCCAGAACGCTATTCTGACACTGTTACTCATAAATTTTAAGAACTCAAAGTGGTGGAGGTGACATTTCGGTGCCCAACCAAACCCCCCACCTCAGAGTTACAGTCAAGTTCGAATTTAAAATCAATTTTATAAAGTAGGGCTGTCCAACGTATGGATGGATACTTTGCGTTTTGAAAATATGAACGCACGAATTCGGAATATACGTAAATCTATATTATAAAAAAATAAACACATTAGGCAGAAAAATATCACTACTTAAAGAATTTTTACTTTAACTGGCAACGCTGTATGTAAACAGGAGAGATTCATTGGTTAAGAGCCGGAAACTGTTTGCAAAGTTTCTAAAGGAAATTGTCCTTTTCCTAAAAAATGAAGTGAAGTCCAACACTACGGACTTCGAAAATTAAATAGAAGAAGCAAACTTCTTGTCAGACCTTGCATTTCTAACCGACGTGACTTCCTATCTGAACAAATTAAACTTAAAGCTTCAAGGAAAGCAACAGAATATTGCCTACTTGTACGGTCATATAAAAGGATTTAAAAATAAAATTAAGCTCTTTAAGTCTAGATTAAAGAAGCAAGATTTCACATTCTTTCCAAACTGTAAAGAGCATTTTGAAGAAATGAAAGACTTGGAGGAATGAAATTTCATTCTCAAATCATTTGGATTGGATTGAAACATATATAGAAGAATTTGACAATCGATTTGGCGACTTCTCAGGCAAATTGAATAAGATATTTCACCAGGGAAGATTTCACTTTTTACCAAGGAAGACCTGAAAAAGGATTGGATTTTTTCAAGTTACTACCGGAGGAACGTTATTCAAATTCAAGAAAATTTGGTCTTAGAATGGGTTCCATCCTTGGAAGCATGTACCTTCGAAATTGAAATATCAATAAATTTATTTTAACCTTCAATTGTGGCTTATTCCCATTAAAATAGTAATTACTTTAAAATGACACAATAAAATAACTCCAGAACAATATTAAGAAAGCTCTATAATGTATTGTGCGTTTTCAATTTTATTTATTTAATACTTTGATTTTGATTAGATTTCTCAGATAGTTTTAATCAAATTAACCAAATTCGAGAATTTGCTGTAAGTTTAAATAACTTTGGTACATATTGCCAAACTAATATTATCATTTTATTATCAAATTATTATCGTTTGAATAAAAAAAGTGGCTAAATATCTTAAACTACTTCAAAGATAGAGCATTTTTAATATTTTGTTGTAGGGTTTGATGGCCTTTATCTCGCGCCAAAAATATTTTTGAGTAAAACAAAAAAATATAAGGTTTTGCTTTATATTTAATTTTAAAATATGTTAAATTCAATAACATCCCAAAATTAACTACACACTACACCATTTACTAAGTACTTACTGCGAAAAAATAGCAGTGAATAGTTACTTAAATATTAAAAAGACATTGATGGCACAATATCTTGTTGTAAAGTAGAGGAAGTAAAAATTTAGAGAGCTGTAAATCTGAAAGCAATTAATTCGTAAGATACTGGTGATTTTCTACTTTAATTCTGCTTCTATTTAAAATCACTTTATTAAACAAGATTCAAATAAAACATTTACACTTCTCAAAGAGTGCCTGCAGTTTGTAGGTAGACATCATCATAACTGAAGAATTACAAAGCAAATGTTACAGTAATCAGTGAAAATTTAATTTCAACAACATATTTTAAATGATTTAAATTTTTAAATTATTTATTATTCTAAAAGTGCAATTTTTACTGAATAGAGTCTGAGCGTTAACTACACATTGGCAGTTTTTTAATTCAATTTTATTCCAATTTCAACATGTTACAAATCACATAATGTGATTTATTTTAATTTGAAAATTTACGTCTACTTACTGATATATTATTCTTTTTATATGTTGATTTTCTAATTATTCCATATATCTTCATTGCAAAAACATTTATGAATTTAAAACATTCTAATGGAAATGTAGGACCAAGAATATTAACCGTAATTCAGTATGTGACTATTATTATCAAGCTTGTTACACTAACCACACCCTTCATTTCGTGTCTAAATAAAGGAAACATAAATAAAGGAAAAACCATTGCACAATAAATTGAAAGTAATTATGAAATATTCAATGTTTTTTTATGATAGTAAATAAGATGAATCATTAGCAACTGTCTCTGTCTAGGCTACAATAAAATTTACATTTAAGGATTGTATTTAAAGTATAAAATATTACTAGCGGCGAACTTACACTACTTGATCCGGCGAACTAAGTACAGCTTTAGATAAATGGTCTCATAAATTATTAGATGAGTTATATTAACTTTTTTATATTAAGATAAAATTAATTAAGTTCCATAAAGACTTAAAAATGAGCTAGTTCATGTGGCAACAAAGTAGCCATTTTCTGAATGGCTACTTGCGGAATGAATCGACAGTAAAGGATAGTAAATTAACATGAAATATTGCGATACCCAGTCATGAATTACATGAAAATTTGGTTTAGGTTCTACTTACCCTCCACTTCACTTTTGCACTTGTGCCGTTGGTTACTTTTTATTTTTTAGGGGTGAAAACCATATTAGAAAAACATACGATTATAAATTCAAGCAATTTGGAATTATTTAATTATACAGTGACTAGAACGTACAATTTCCTAGCTGGAAAAAGGGAACGATGGGAAGTATTGAGAGGTAACAACTAACTGACTCAGTGCATAAGACTCAGACTCAGTGCATACCTGTCAGGGCATATGAAACTTCTCTTTCTCTTCTCATTTTACCATCTGTTTTTTTAAGACTATACCTTTCAAGACTTAAATCTTTCTTGATGATTCACCTAAATAAAAATGATAAAATCTATCATTTTAAGTTTTTTCCGATAATCCTTTTATTTATGGTATTGATATTTTCCTTGTATTACCGCATCCTTTATGAATGCTGTAGGATCCCGTTCTTAGTTGTTCTATTCCATTCGGCAAATTCTTAAAAATTTCTTGTTTATATACGACAAAGGATAATCATTATTTAATAAAACAGATGTTAACAAATGTTTCCCATCTAAGAACGAATTTTCGTTGGAACAAATAATTTTGGCTCTATCGTATAAGGATTGCATTAAGATGTTACAAGAAAATAGTTCCAGAACAGTACTGGTCATAACAGTTTCGATTGGGGTCTACAATCAGCTTGCTCCGCAGGTAGTTTGTGTGAGATATTTACAGCGATTTTTTTATAAATAAGTTTCTCTTAAGTTTATAGCCAAAGCTCAGTAAGGATATAGGTCCGAAGTTCTCTGGTTTGTCAGATTTTAAAATGGCAATTATTTTTGCCCCTTTAAATTCCTTAGAAAAATAAACACCACGAAAATATATACAATATTTACATATATATATATATATATATATATATATATATATATATATATATTTTTTGCCCCTTTAAATTCCTTAGAAAAATAAACACCACGAAAATATATACAATATTTACATATATATATATATATATATATATATATATATATATATATATATATATACATATATATAATATATACAGTGTAGGAAAAATTTTATTGCAAGATTCTTGCAGGCAGCGTACCATAACAATCACTGAACTACCCTTCAAGTATTTTTGGTCACTCATTGTACTTGTTATTTCTTTAAACGGCCGTAAAATTTGGGAAAGCTGAGAACAAATAATCCAGTGTTATTTATTTAGATTTGGTCTAAGTCTAAGTCTGTATTATTTAATACCGATGTGGAACGGATTGCCTCTTCTAACTCGGTCATTTTTTTTAACATGTAGTAGGTGAAGTTCTACCTAGTTTCCACGTCTTGGATTGGCCGTTTGGGAACTTTTTTATGTTGTAATTAATACTTTAAAAGCCTTTCTGAAGATAAGGTACTTTTTTTTAAATGTGTTTTTTGCAGAATTGTCGAAAATAGGACTTTTTATTTTATCTATTATCAAATCAGTTTTGACATAACATTCCTGAAGTAATGAACCTGACAGTTTTTCTTGTTGGCAGTTTATATCCAGGAATCCACCCTGCAAACTTTTTAAAAGCTGGTTCTTCACCTATGGAAAACGGATAAAACGAGTCTTTGCATAAGTTTAGTAAATCTTGAAAATCAACCAGTACAAGAAAAAGAAACTGATAAAGATGACTTAAGTCCATGGTGTATTTTTGATGAATTAATTGGACGTGACTCATCTAAACATACACCTGTATCGAGAGATATAAAAGAAGTCGACATGTATTTGTCTGATGATATATTACCCACAAAAAATTTCGAACAGAGATTGGAACTGTCCATTACCGTGGTGGAAAAACCATCGTCATGTATATCCTAACTTAACCACTATATTCATAAAATATTGTAGTATTGTAACAAAATCTTTTCCTTGTGAACACATGTTTAAAATCTGGTTTAATTTTAAATAAAAGAAGAACACGGTTAACAAGAAAAGTGGAAAAACTTGTTTTTAAATGTCAATTTAGACGATTCGCGATTTAATAATGTGTAATGTAATTGTAAGTACTATTTGTATTGTTTAATTTATTTTTCAAGTTATAAGAAATATATCCTTCGTTAGGTTCTTTCACTTCAATACTTATACACATAAATGATAATAGCCAATATGTTTGTGTACTCGCTAATTTGAATACTGGTAAACAATCAACTAGTTACAGTTTACGAAAAACGGTTCCGATAAAAATTTAAAAAACGAGAGGATCCACCTCTAGTTTTTTAGGTATATTAGGATCGGAACCAGAGAATATGTAAAATATCTCTGATCGGAACTATTCGTATCACGAATGAGCAATGAGTGTTAAAAATATTTATGGAGGGGAGACCAAGGGGAAATATGATTTTTATCTTTGTCTATTCGCTGAAAATATGATTTTATATCTGCGTTAGATATCCTGTTAAATTTTACCATACCGACCATAAACTTTTACCTACACTGTCTTCTTCTTAAGGTGCCGTGCATTTCTGCGTAGGCGTCCACCGTACATCGTCTTGTCAGGTGAGATGTTAAATATTCTGGATTAACTAGAATACTACACTGTATATATATATATATATATATATATATATACATTTGTCCTATTTCCGATATTTGACATTCAGTAATTATTATATTTCCTAAAAAATAACTAGGCGGTAAAATTTGTTTTTGTATAATTCCAAGGTAATAATTACTCTAAAATATGTTAAACGACCATCAGACTATAAAATGTGTTTTGTATTAAAAATTTCCATTTTTTTGCCATTAAAGTCATTTATGGACTTTATAGTAATTTATTGGAAATTTCCATTCAATAATGAATAATAAAACACAATAATACACAACTTAGTTTTTAATTTTCACAGCGTGGTGTAAGTGAAGCATGTCAAGTGTACTGTGTTCTGTGGAAATTGAAAACAGTTTTGTTTTATGTTATATATTGAAAGTACTTTTTAGCTACATTTATGTATACCTATACAAGCATGGCTACAGGAGATGTTCCAAGCGTTCCAAGGTCAGACAGCGAGGATCATGGATTTACACAAGACTGGGTAGCGAATCGCGCCAATAGAGTGGCACAAAGACGGTTAGACGTAGATAGTGAACCAAGTAGAGTGGCACAAAGACAGTTAGAAGTACATAGTGACCCAAGTGGTCAACCGCGCACACAAATTCATCAAGATCCGGAAGAACGTAAGTACAAAAAAATCAGAAACATCTTAATCCACATCTTAATTTAAGCAGCCATCGAATGTCCCCAAAATTTTCTCTTTCCAGTAAATAATTTACGTTTACTCTTTCTTCCCGCAATTCTTTGTAGTGTTCACACAAATTTGATTCGAGCGCCATATTCTCAGCTTGGCACTGTATCTCCTCCTTTTTTTATCATACTCTCAATCACACTAGACCATCTATATTTCTATTCCCATTCACCCCCAACCTTAATATTCAATCCATCTCATCCAATCTTTCCACCAACCACACCTTGCTCTCTCATCTTTTTCAAAAGAAATTTTGCCAACCTATCATTAGAATATTCTAGAATTCTTTCAAAATATTTTTTATGTAAATTCATTGTATATATAGGCTGACTCTAGCAATACATGTCTCCAAGTCTAATATAGGACAATATCTTGGATAAGAAATTTTTTGAGGTATATACAATTTTCTGATTGTTTCCCCAAAAGTAACACTAAACTACTCACAAGCCGTGTGGATATCCACTTTTGCTAAACTCTGGTGCTTCTTCAGATGAGCTTTAATAGACAATTTGGGTGTTGGGTAAAACAAACAAAAACAAATTTAGATAAATCCTTTGGATTTATCTAAATTTGTTTTCAAATTCCACATCCTGCAGTATTTTTCCAGTTCATTAATCATCAATTGTAGCACCTTAAAATTGATTGCCATCAAAACCAAATCATCTGCATATAATAAAAGTGTTATAATCAAACTATTTATCTCCAATGCTTCGTGTAGGTCATTCAAGAATGGCGCAAACAGTAATGGACTTAAAAAACATCCCTGTCTCAATTTTACATTACAGTCAAACCATTCAGATATACCTTCCTTTGACCGGACTGCCGTTTTTGTGTTCGCGAACATACTTTTTAACAAATTGAGCACTTTAGTAGATAATCCCAAGTAACTCAACTTGTAAAAAAGGGCCAGCCGATCAACTGTATCAAAACCAGCACTAAAGTGCACAAAAAATGTTAAAACATTTTTTACTCCCCGTGCATGTTGGATTTTTACTATAGTTAGGTTAAAGATTAAAAATATTGTCTATAGTTGAATAGCCAGTTTTATATCCTGCCTGGAACTCATTTAAAAAGTTATTATTTTGTATCCACGAAGTAAGTCTGGTTAAAGTCAATGCCGCAATGAGTTTGGTTATTGCATATAACAAACTAATACCTCGATAACTTTGTGCACTTCCTTTTTATAAAGGGGAAATATGATTGCATCATAAAAACCCTGAGGAAAGACTGGTTTGACGAAAAAATTAGTAGCAAGCCCAAGTCAAAGCGCTCTTCCGTTTTCTACAAGATATTTGTAGAATTCAGCAGCAATTATGTCAACTCCTGGTGCTTTATTTGGTTTTAAACAATCCAATGTTATTAGAAATTCTGTCATACTAAACGGCCGGTCTAAATGTTCATTGAGGATAAACGACTTTGCATACAACAAGATCCGCCATTATCTCAGCATTCAAATGTGCAAAATGCTGCAGTAAACTGTTTAAGTTAACACCTTCCCCAATGACCGAACTTCAAAACTTATACAGCCCAATACCCTCCCAAAATTCTTTTGAATTTTTTGTATTCATAAATAAGAATGTTTTGTTGATGCCAGTTAGTTTTAAATTTCCTCTTAGTTAAATTCACTAAGTGGTATGCTGTATTCTGAAATAGAGTTTACGAAATATCATATATTTAGCGAACATCGCAGGCTGATGAATGGAGCGTGCGTTTGACTGTCGGTATAAATAGAAAGAGGCAAACTTTTTTTCCAAAACTACTTTTTCCAAAAAGAAATACAACATTTTGATTTTCACCAGATGAAGTACACTTTACACTCCAATCAGTTTTAAATATATATTTATTTTGCAGGTGGAGTCAAATTAGGTTTGGGCGATTTTATATTCTACAGTGTACTTGTTGGAAAAGCGTCCTCATATGGAGACTGGAATACAACATTAGCATGTTTTGTAGCCATTTTAATTGTAAGTATACAATACATATACCAGTATTTTTTAAATTCATTTTGTTACTGAATAGTCATCTTGGTTTCTATAAATATGCTCTAGTATATTTAGTTATTTATAATATGGCACACAAAAGCATTTTTTTGTTCACAAAAAAGAGACAAGGTGCATGGTTACAACACCAAATTTACTAAGATGTAAATTGGAGTTGGAAGATCAGATAATAGAACAAGTGATGGAGTTTAAATATCTAGGCATCACATTATCTAGCTACGGAAAGCTCCAAACCGAAGTGGAGGACCAAATGAATAGAGCAAACAGAGCCGCAGGCTGCCTAATGAAACAATATGGAGAAATAAAAATATCGGGAAAGAATCGAAAAGCAGAATTCACAAAACAGTCATCAGACCAATAATGACATATGCGACAGAAACAAGACCTGACACAGAGAGGACAAAAAGGATGTTAAAAACAGCCGAGATGAAAACACCTAGAAAAATTGATGGTAAGACACTATGAGACAGAGAAGATACAGATATAGAAGTACAGATATACGGCGTAGACACAAGGTGGAGAACATCAATAACTGGGTAAAAAATAGAAGAGTAGAATGGAACAATCATATAAGCCGAATGACAACAAAGTTGTCATTCGGCATTCAATAATAAAGACGGCAAGAGACGGTTCCCCAATAGGAAGACGATCAGTAAGAAGATCACGAAAACGATGGAACGACAACTTAGTGGAGGCACATTGAAAAACAGACAGATTCATTTCTATATAAGAAGAAGAAGAAGAAGTACACAAAAGCAGATCTTTTTGTCTTTTAAAATAATCAACATTAAAAATAAATCAAAATTAAAATTATTGGATTAAAGAATCAGATAATTTTATTTAATTTTCACTTTCATTTGACTTCATTATTGATTTTTCACTAATTAATTAGAGTTTACTGATTGATCTTCAGAGACTGTGGAATGAAGTAACAAAAATCCCTAAAAAATATCAACATGTTAATACAATCAACATATCAATGTAAAAAAAATCAAAAATAGTAATATTCACACAAATAAACAACAATCAAATACACCAAAATAGAACGTCGATTGAACAAGTTTTATAAATATCCTGGCATCCAAATGAACGGATATCTTTAACACAAGGCAAGAAATCATGTTTCCTTTATACAAAGGCTGTATTCATAATTCAGTTTTTATAAACATTATAAAGTGCTATTATCATCAGAAGTATACCTTGCTCTGAGATTTAGACTGGTGAAACCTTCTAAATCTCCCAAATTTAATAAACCTTCCAAAAGTGAAGCCAGCTTTGATGTGACCGCTATGATTTGGTGTCTGTACGTTGCCCATTACTACCTCTCGCAAGGTTACCGGTCTACTGATTTTTTAGTACGAGGGTGGATTGATATAAAACTAGCCTTTGATAGAAAAAACAATTTTTTTGGAATTAAATCGATTTATATCTGAACATAGTCCCCTTTTAACTCGATATATTTAGTAAGACAAGGTTCAAATTTTTTTATTCCATCCGAATAGTACTTCTGCTCGAGGTCTTCAAAATAGGCCGAAGTTTCAGCGACGACTTCATCATTTGTTGCGAAACGGCGTCCTCCGAGCCATTTTTTTAGGTTTGGAAACAGGAAAAAATCGCTGGCGGCAATATCTGAGAAATACGGTGGGTGTTCAACCAATTCATAGCCCAATTCGTGTAATTTTGCCATGGCAACGAACGATCGGTGAGCCAGTGCATTGTCTTGATGAAAGAGCACTTTTTTGCGTTCCAAACCGGGGCGTTTTCGACGCAATTCGGCATTGAATCGATCCAATAATGCTGCGTAGTACTCGCCAGTGTGTTTTTCCTTTTTCCAAGTAGTCGGATGATGCCCTTCGCATCCCAGAAAACAGTTGCCATTACTTTGCCGGCCGAATGTGCACTCTTTGCCTTCTTCGGCGGTCCTTCGCCGCGTTTGCGCCACTGTTTTGACTGTTTTTTGGTTTCCGGTGTATGCACCCAGGTTTCATCAAAGGGGATAATCCGGCGAAAAAAATCCTTCGGATCGCGCCGTATCATCGACAAAAGCGTCTCCGAAGTGGTCACACGGTTTTGCATTTGATCGATTGTCAGCAAACGTGGCACCCATCGCGCGGATAACTTTTTTATATACAAATGATGGTAAATGATGTTCTGTACGCGTTCGTAGGAAATGTTTAGGAACTCTATTAACTTGCGGAGCTTAATTCGACGATGTGCCATAATTATGTCATGGACTTTGTTGATCATTTCCGGCGTGGTGACTTCATTTGGTCTCCCGGGACGCTCCTCATCAAAAACACTCGTACGACCACGAAATAAATTCAGCTTTCCAAAATTTTACTGTTGCTAACGAAGGTGCAACCTCACCATAAACTTCGTCTAGGTCGGCTTTGATTTGCACATTCGTTTTACTCTTTTTGTGGAGGAACTTACGAACGATACTCGACTTTTTCCATTTTTTCAAATCACAAAATTTGCTTGCTTTTGACGGCTGTAAAAACCAAACTAATTGATTTTAAAACTTAAAATTTTGACAGACGTCATGTCATGAATGGCAAATGTCACCACCCAAACCAATTCGGTATCAAGTAGCGCCATCTATCAAAGTCTAGTTTAATATCAATATATCCTCGTAAATCTACTGATTTCAACTTCATCTTACTAATTTACTGTATATCTACTACATATATAATAGAAACACTATATCGATGTACTAAAAATATGTAATGATAAAAACATGTTCAAAATGTGATCATTATGTCAGTGTTTAATTATAAATTATGACAAAAATCTATTTATTAATGTATATCCATACGCGTATCCTCTCTTTAAATGCCGAACATTTGATAGATAAAAAAATACATGCGCCGTTATCACCTCATAAATCAATAATAATAATCCCAGTATGCCCTTTGTCTCCAATAGGGCGCATGGTATAATATCCAGTTTAGGCAGTAGTCTAAACATGGTTTAGGCAACATACACACAAGCACATTGCAACACGGGTTGCATACACGTAGGAGATTTGTTACAATCTCGACAAAATAAACTTTGAAGATTTTGAGAAAAGAGATTTACCTGTTTAAGGTACCTAGTACTAAACTGCATGTTGATCGGCAACCTAAAGCAGAAGTTGCGCTTAGAATAAAAAGATAGTAAAATTAATTACCAAACAATTTTCAAAACGAAGTCCTTATCCTTTATTAATCTTACTGTTGTGTTGTGTTGCATAAAAGATATGTATTGTAGATTCTCAATATCTATTGTCTTTTTTTAGGGGTTATGTTTGACGCTGCTACTGCTAGCTATATTCAAGAAAGCTCTACCGGCACTGCCAATTTCCATTACTTTTGGTCTGATTTTTTACTTCGCCACCAAAGAAATCGTTAGCCCATTTACGGATAGTTTGTCTAACGAGCAGATATTTATATAAACGTTACATTCCAAGGTTCACATGTAACTTAAGCTTTAAAACTTTTCCAAATATTTTTACAATGTTTGTTCCTAGTTTTTCTTAGTAATCCATAAAACTGGTTGACTTATTTTGTGATAATTATAAAACTATTAACAATCGAGATAAAAATACTTTTTTTAACAATCAAGATAGGGAATAGTATTAAGAAATCTCTATACTGATATTCACCAAATCAATTAAAATTTTTTTTAGAGAATTAATTGTTTGGTTATTGTGTTAATTGTATAGATAAGTAACAAAGTTTTAAAATAGTAGACATTTTAGATTACTGCCATAAAAGATATGGGCCTCGAAAATCACAAATTTATTAATTGTAACAAAAATTAGAGTATTTTTTTTTATTTAACATTAAACAGTCAAAAAGTTTCATTGTTGGGGAAAGTATGTAGTATTTATTTTAATATTTTTCCTTTATTGTACTATAATGTGATCTTATTTAATCGTATATTCCAACTTATTTGCTTTAAAATATATTGTTTCCTGTTATTTCGTAAAATCTCATTGTTAAACTGCCTTAAACACATTTAGTCTGTTCAAGAGAATTTAACTTCTTTTTCGACGAGACAGCGAACGAAACGCACCCAGTTTTATCGGTTCTCGTCCTATCGAGCCTCGGCGCTCACGAGCGTCGCTACGTGATACCAACGATATTCCACTGGTTACGAATACATCAATATACCAAAAGATGAGTATATATTCTTTGTACAGATGACAGTATGAGCTAACGCCCGTTAATTCACGTAGTTTATTCACAGTTGTAGCTGCTATTTTTCGCTAATTTATTTACAGTGAAAATATTACATTTTTTCTCCATTAATATTTTAATTTCAACTTAACTTAATTTCAAGTTAACCAGTGGCTTCTAAGTTTTACACAAAACATTTGGTCCTTCGAGCCGGATGATAAATAATTATAACTTTGATTCGATCCTTCGTGTATTATTTTTAAACTTAATTTACATAATTAAATTAGATCACATTATAGTACAGTAAAGGAAAAATATTAAATGTAAAATATTAAAATAAATACTACATACTTTCCCAAACATTCATAATAACCAATAATTTAAAATAACTTTCATTTTTGTATTTTTTAAGGCTTCTGAATCCATTTCTCATGTTTCTATATTAACACCAATGTGTTATTTTCAATGTGATTATTTATTATACTGGTTTGACTTGAGGTGTAATAATTCAAAAGATGATTTTTATCTTATCGTAAAGTATGGTATTGTGGTATGTTTTCATTTTTTTGACTTTTATATCTAATTTTTGCTGTTATAACCTTTTTTGAATGGTCGGCATTAATCTCGGCACCTCTCCTTTGTATAAATCTTGCTGAATCAATGGGCATGTTGAGACTATGAACGCTAAGCATTGAAGGTTGATTATAGTTGTAAAAATATATCAAAGCTCATAGAAACACTATTACCTCTACTTAGACTGTAAATTAAAGTTCCATAACAAAAGTTGCAAGATGTGAAGAAATCGTTTGCTACAACCATTTAATTAAAGTGTAATTAAATTTTGTAAAAGAAATCACACTTAAATATTCAGATGAATTGAATGTGCATAATTTTCTTTAATTTTATGCTTGAGATTTGTTATTGATATTAAAATAACTTTTATACATAAAATATTTAAAATAGCTTCAACATCTTAAGGTAGCATACTGTGTCATTTTGTCCAAAAGTAGACTTAAATTGTTACAGTAGGAATATTCACAGTTTGTACAAATGAAAATCTAATAAATCCTTCTTACCTTTTTTGTTTTTTATTTCATAGTTAGTTTAGAAATCAAAATAATGATGGGATTTGGAAATCAATGCCAAAGCAGTGAGGAAGTTATGAGGACAGATTTCGAAGTTTGGATATAAAACTATGGTAGTGAACAAAATCTTATTCAAGCTGACAAAGAGGAGATTATATACGTGGAAAGCAGCAGGACACAAGAAGGATCGAATATTCCGAAATCAAAATGCATTACATTCTTATCAGTAAGTAGTTTACAAATGGGATAAAATCTCTAAGGACTTACCCAGATGGTGATGTTACATCCCGTCACAATCCTGTGGTCATAGACATAAATATACGACTATGAAAAAACGGTGACAACGATCCAGATACTCAAATTACAACTCGGATAATTAATCAGAAAAAATTTCGTGATCTCAAAGAAGAAAATTCGTAACGGATGCCAATCAAGATGTGTGCTTCATTGACTATACTGAGGCTTTTGACAATATTAGGCACGAGAAGTTGGTGGAAATCTTGCAAAAACTAAACATTCATTATCAAGATATTCAAATAATATCAAGATTATACTGGGGCCAAACGACAAGAATAAAAATAAAATTCTTCCGATCGGAGAAAATAAGTATTCAGAAAGATGTACGACATGAATATATTCTCTCGCCAATGCTATTTCATTTATACTCTGAATATATTTTCCGCGAAGCATTGGAAGATGAGCCAGCTGAAATAGCGACAAATGGAGTGGTCAACATCAGACATGCTGACGATACAGCTATAATATCCAACAATTTGGGATCCGTCCAGAGGCTCTTCAATATCGTATATATGGTTATATATCGTATACTACGTACGGTTTACATATCAATTATCAAGAAAACCAAAATGATGGTCATTTCAAAAAGTTTAAAGTTTAATTGTGGACAATTAATTTATAATGGACAGATAATAGAGTCACAAATCATTCAGTCTTGGAAAGACTGAATCTTACTGTAATTATATTTACAATAAAGAAAAGAAAACGTAAGTTTCTTAGCCAAATCTCTAGAGGCACAATATGAGCTCCTAAAACTTCGAATATATCGATGTCTCAGAAGCCAATGGGGGTCAATAAATCTTTAAAATGAGATAATAAGATGTTTGTGAAATTGCAGAAATAGACCATTTAAATAAATTTTTAAGACATCCTGGTAAACAAAATTTATGTATTAGATTAAGATTAGATTAACAGAAAGGTTTGCCGGTCAACAACTGATTTTTAAACACTGACAGGTAAAATCTTTTTATATGGAATTAGAAAGCACATACTCATTATAATCTTTTCATTGTTTGTACCTAGGAATATTGTATTTAACCTTTTGGTATAGAAATGAATTATGTATTAGTAACCAAAGGGAAAGCCCGTTTTAAAGCAAAAATTTTAGTTTCTAAGGAAACAGTAATGGGGTTTTTTCTTAATGATTGTAAACAAAATAAAGCTTTTTGATTGGACAATGTTTTTTGTAAATGGGAGATTTGACAGTCGATGTATGAGAGAGAATAGGCAGTTGTCATTTGATCATCGAAAGGAAAGGTCACGTCTCGATAGAGAGTGTGTTCGGAAGTTTGGATAGCAGCATTGTGAAAGTAAGTTCTCAGAATTGTGGAAGGAGATTACAAGTCGATGAAAAGATATCGTTGGATCTAAAGTGGGCAGTTTCTGGAATACGTAGGAACTAATTTGGCGGTACGAAGTTGACAGAAAGAGCTCCTTGTGTCATTGAGAAGTAGCTGAGTGTTTGGAGAATTAAATTTAAAGTGTTAATTGTTGGAGAATTGAGTCAGGTGTTTCGTACAGTCGCTGCAGGAGGATTGCAGATACGAAAAGAAGAAAGCCGAGGCGAATAGTGGCAGATTACATTGCTGTGGAGCGTAGACGATTCTGGGTATGGTCTAAATACAATCTACGAAGGAAAGGTCAGTGACTTTATGTTCAGAATTGAAAGTTTTGTAACTGTGAATGAATTTTGTTGACATCGTTGTCGTTACCATTTTAACTCAAGAGTAGACTTGTAAAATGATTTGACTGATTTGTAAAATGTTTTAAAGTTTTGTTTTTGAAATAAAGTAAATATTGAAAAATCAGAAAGATAAAAAGTGTTAAAGATATTCATTGAAATTGGCTTAAATTGGTTTTGTGTTCAAGAAGACTTGACAAATAAATCTGTGCACTTTATATAAAATATATTTCAGAATATTAAATTAAAGAAAAACTTTTATCGCCAAGTGACGTCATGCGCATCGACGTACAACATTCGATTGCGAAGTGGTTTTATCTTGGAAGTCATAGTATCATGTTATTTATCTATTATTTAAACCTTTCTGGTAATTTGCAATAACAGTTGCATAGAATCCTGGTAACTAAGGGATAAAATACAAACAAATTTAAATTTAGTTGCCACGGAAACTCGAACTATTTACAATACAAACAAACTTCCATTATGTCAGACGGAACATTTTTAGTTTGTTTAACAGGTCAAATCGAATGGATAGATATATTAGCAACAAGCGGCACTTCATGGCATTGTAAATATGAGTTTTCATCAGGTCCAGACTGGAAAGTGTCAGGAGGATTAGAATCGGGTCTCTCTCAAGTTGCGAATATTGTGAACAATGGTGATAAAGTCATACTAAATCTACCGATAGAAATTCAGTTCAAATCTACAAACCCTTACGGCTGGCCTCAAATTGTTTTAAGTGTTTATAAAAATTCAACACTTACTGGATATGGAAGGTGTCACATGCCCATAAAACCAGGTATATATAAGTTAGAAGTGTTTTTGTCGAAACCTCAAGCTTCGTCGATGTTAGGATATTTAGCATCATTTTTTGGATATCAGCCAGAATTATTACAACCAAAAATGTTAGCAACTACGGCAGGAAATAATCTGCTGCTTATGGAAACCACAGGACACGCTTTAATTTCAGTTAATGTTATTACACAAGGATTCCAAAATTTAGGATATGATAGAGGAGCAGTAAAAGATTGATAAAACTATTAAAATTTTAAAAAGATAAATATTTTATATTTTTGTACTCTTTACTGTAATAATTTATTACATTTTTAACAATAAAATATATCAAAAAACTAAACAAAGCCTAATAAGATCTCCATATTTCTGAACTCCATTTATTTATTCTCAATAGGAACCTTAGCATAATACGGCGAAATACTTAAGGTCGATTCAGACACATCAGGCCCGTCACAGTCTCGGCGCCGAACCGGTCCTGTTTGGTCACAGAACTATTAATTATCTGACAGCTGGGAAACTGTTCGTCGCCTGATGAATGTGAATGCCGGTGCCATATTTCTATTAAAGAATATTTTGTACCCCCTCTGTGGCTCAGTGGTAAGAGCGCCTGCCTTTAAATCTAAAGGTCGTGAGTTCGAATCCCACCTGGGTGGAAATTTTCGTTTATTAAAAAAAATTAATAAATGAAAATAATTTCTATCCTTGTGTGATCGGTACACACCGGAGCGCAGACGTTCGGATACAATTAGCGTCTCTTAGCAAAGACAATGACGTCGACTTTGCTAAGTATCAAGACAATTACTCTACACACGCACACACTACATTAATAAACTTATCTTGATTGAGACTGGCTGAATGACAATTGTCCAAGCCAAAACACACACACAAAAAAAATATTTTGTATGACGGATTATTCGGTTCAGCGCCAGGACTGTGACGAGACGTAACTGATGTGTCTGAATCGACCTTTAGCTGGCTGGTAGGAACACATTAATAAATTTATAGATCCACTATGATTTGGTGAGTATTAACGACACAACTATTCACAAGCACTATATTTCTCCAGTCAGAGAATGATGAGGGGAGACAAAAAAGACGATATTCATGAAACTTTGCATGTAGGTACAATGACACATAACGCATTTGATGCCATATTTTTTGTTGATACTCTTCTTTAAATTTCACCGGAAATAACAACCAGAGATAGAAATGACAGGGATGATAGGCTAGTCTGCCAGCGAAATGAAATGGTAACCTCAAAGTGTCAAAACATACCCAATAACTGATATAAATTCAGATCACAATCCTGTAGTAGTTAAGGCATCGAGCAATAAGACAAAAGAGAGAATGTAAAGGTAGTGGGGCTAAACATATTGATAGACAGGAAGTGCCATCTTGAGAGGCCACTTTAGACAAGGATAGACAGTCTCTTTCCTTGTTTAAGAAGTCAAATTTAGTTAGGTTATGTTATTGTTTGTCCCAACTGTCACATGAAATTTTATTTATATTGAAATCTTTTACCAATTGTGTCACTTTTTAGACTATTATAGTTATTATTTAATTAAAACTTTCTCGTCTGAAAAATATTTTATAGCTATTGTTAATAAGTGTTGGAAAATTTAAATTTAGCGCCTTTGCATTTCCGGATATGTCCGCCATCAGAGGCCACTTTTTTGGTCTCCTTTTCATAATGATTAGATTCCCTCTTTTATCTTTTTGCTCGATGAGTTAAGGTCATCAAACTAGCAGCTCAGAAGAAAATAGTCTGTAAAACAAAACCACGCATAAAGAATTTACAAGATCCAAAGGCGAACTAAGTGGTAACCCAAAAAATTAACGCTCAATTATTTGCTAGGGAAGAACTAACCACCTTGGAAACTGGTAATTATTAAAAAAACATTGACGAAAGTTAGTTATAAACGAAAATATTCAACTAGCACTAAAAACAGGAAAAAGGAAATGAATGACTGATAATATATTACAAAAGATGGAGAAAAGCTGGCTACTGAAAGGTCGAAATATCAGCCAAATGGGCCAAAAAATTTATAAAAAAAAGCCTAAGGAAATCTATTTAAACGATAAGTACAACGAAATGGAAGAACTAGATAAAAAATATTACCTGTTTCGTGTTTCTATATCGTAAGATTAAAGAATTTACTACGTACTAATTGACCATGTAGAACCTTAAGTATACCTTGGCACCAACGTAAATGGGAACAGGTCATAGAAATTAATGCGAGAATTAGACAAGCTAGAGCAGCATTAAACAATATGAAAAAGATTTTCATAAGCAGTTATTTGTCCCTTCTTCTAAAATTACAGCTAGTTAAATGCTATATTTTTTCTATTGGCGACGTGCAAGTACTTGGAGGGGATACGAGAAACGATCGTGCGTGAGTAGCGGAGAAATTTTGCATTTTTTACTGTACATTTCATAAATTCATATTTTCAATTGTCATATTTCATTTTCGTTTTGTTTATTTACATTTACACCTTCTGTCTCTGAAGAAAATGGGATTTAGGAAATGCTGTGTTATAAATTGTAAAAATACAACAAAAAATTGTCAATTTAAGTTTTATTCGTTTCCAACTTCGAAGCACAAAGCTACTACAAAGAGAACAGTGGATTTATATCATAAGTAACATAACCTAAATTATGCATTATTCTTGCGCCCGATTTTAAAGTCAGTTTGAAATAAATAAAAGTTCACTTTTAAGTGTAAATTTTGGTTTCGTTCATTTTAACCCAAAAATCAAGTTTAATGTTTAAATTTTATTTTTTTGAAGTTTACAAGAATGCATCAAGTTCAAGTTTTTCTGAAGATGCATTAAGATATATTCGCTGTCCAAAAGTTTACAGGGAAAGAATTAATTGTTCAAACCAATATGATGGTATCATGGGCTTAACCTGCTAATTTATGCATTAGCATTATTTATGGTAATTTATTTTTCTTAATTCTTCCATTATTTTTTGACATTTGCCACTACTAAAGCTTTTCCCTTTGACTCAGTGCTTGGTTGAAAAGTTATTTGGTGATTTACTTTCTCAAATCCAGTTTTTATTATTGAATCCATATTAACAGTAATGCTGTAATTCAATAATATATTTATTTGTATTTACGCTACATCAACGTTTACCTTTTAATAACATACCTACATAACCTCAATCTTACTTTTTCTTCTTATTCTTTTTTGGGGCCACGTCCTTTACAGTTATCCGGTTACCTCGATCTAACATAAAAGCGCAGTAAATTTTGCTGATTTACGACACCAGGTGTCGCTGTTCCGAACTTGCACGGTCCCAATATATTCCTATATGGTGCGGATAGAAACGTTCATGACAAACTAGAAGCATTCGAAATGTGAGTGTACTGACGCATTCTTCATATAATAGGTGGAGGACTGGAAACAAAGAAAACCTAAATATCTAGACCACGATAAGTACCGCCTACTTCACTTGATTATCCAGTGAAAAATAGATAGCAGACAAGATAAGAAAAAATTTCAATTTTATTAACTTACTTTTTTTTATTTGTATTTCCAACGAAATCGCAGATACAAAAAACCAATCAGCCGCTTCGGCTACGTCGGCATCTGGAACACCACAAACATCTTCACCATCACAAAAGGAAAAGAAGGTAAAAAATCCACGGGCAAAACCTTCCCATCTTCCAACGTCTGAGCTAGTAAATAGTGCTATAAAAGTTCTCAAGGACAGAGGTGGTTCTTCTCTTCAAGCTACCATTAAATATATCGCGGCAAATTACAAAGTAGATGCGGAAAAATTTGCAACATTCATAGAAAAATATTTAAATGCTGCAGTTCTTACTGGATCATTGGTGCAAACAAAAGAAAAAGGAGCCTGAGGATCTTTTAAGTTAGCCTCTACTTCATCGTCGTCTTCTGGATCTGCAAAGCCTAGTTCGAGAGAAAAAAAAGCTGGAGCAACTACACCGCAAAAACTGCCGTCGCTGCCAAACGTTCTGCTACTGGCGAAAAGGCAAAATCTGTAAAGAAAATGACTAAGACTAAAAAAAGCCGCATCAAAAACAAAGAACAAGCCGTCCAAGGTGAAGAAAGTTGAAAAGAAATCCTAAGATTGTGCCATCTTCATCCGCAGAGGCCAAAGTAAAAACGCCAACCAAAGCAAACAAATGAAATAACAGCAGTCCTACGAAAAAACCAAAGGCACCTAGCCAAAGATTGTCAAGTGTGTCGCAAGTTCACCAAAAGCTAGAAAAGTTGCTGCTACTAAGAAGAAGAAGCAATCAGACTAATATCTTTAAAACAAGTTAGATTTGGCACGATATAAGCTCTTTTTACATTACAAATACTGTTGGGAAAATGACACGATCAAAGAAAAGATTTTTATATGTTTTGTTGATTTGTACAAGGCTTTTGATAAAGTGAGGCACGGCAAACTGTTACAACTACTAAGGGGTATGAGATAAGAAAATAAAGACGTAAGGTTAATTAAAAACCTGTGGCAGCAAACGGAAAAATTCAGAATTGATAACAACCTGTCAAAACAAATACCTATTAATAGGAGTACGACAGAGCTATCTGTTGTCGGCTATATTATTTAAATTGTGCTCTGAAACAATATTCAGCATAGTGTTTGAAAACATGCAAGAAGATATAAAAATTAAAGGGCTTAAAATATCAAGCATCAGATATGCAGATGATACAATTTGGATGACAGTCTCGGATATAGGGCTTCAACAGAATTTAACATGCAAATAAACATTGATAAGACCAAAGTGGTGACCTTTTTTAGATCTCAGAATGTTCCAATACCTATCACATTAAATAGTTAAATCTTGGAATAAGTAAATAAAATAAAGTACCTGGGTTGCTAAATAAACAAATAACTGAACCCAAATCTCGCGATTAAAGCAAGCAAATTAAAGAAGCAAGAAGCGCATTATACAAATAAAAGGACTTATACTTAAATTCTATGTTTGGCCAACTATACTATATGAAGTAGAATCATGGACACTCAGAACTCCAACCATGAACAAGATAGTGTTATTTGATATATGGACTTACAGAAGAATAATTTAAATTTCCAGGACTGATCATATTAGAGACAGGTTCTCCATCGTCCAAGCAAAGAAGGAGTGCTACTGCAAATAATAAAAGTCCGCAAAATATGTACCTATTAAGAAATCAAAACTATTTCCGCCCCCTTGTCATATTAACAGGCAAAATTAAAGGAAAACATTTAGTCGGGGAGAAAAATCTCCCTTGGATCCGAAATACACGACAATGGATGGATTTCAATGAAAAACTAACAAGAACATCAGAGAATAGAGAAAAATTTAGTAAGTGTAAAAAGAATAAGTAAAAAAAATAGTAGTGTTGAACGTCATACGTAGATTTTTCAGCCAGTAAATCCTTGGTCTTCATGGTCTTCGTTTTCCTTCTTCTTTTCCTTGTAAAATTAGTTGCAGTAATCCATAGCTTTGACCTCATGACCACTTGTTCCTCATGATGTGACCGAATCCGATGATGTGCTCAGTATAATATATCTTTAGGATTCGGGGATAAATCAACATTTCAAACCATCTTTATTGCATGGTGCAAAAAAAAGATCTCTACCAATACTTAAAAAACAGTATGACAAAATATTGTTGAAAAATGTTAAATTTATATTGTTATCACTTTCATACTAGTTTCTCAGTCAAACTGTTTCTCAAGAACCGATATTATGTATATAAATAATTTATTTAACAGAACTAGATGTACAATTAAGAGATTCTGTAAAATAATAATTAATATCCAACATCTCAAGCAACTGAAGCAAATGTGGCTGGTAACCAGATTTTGCAATTTTTCGAATAACCTTGAACATATACAACACAAACTCTTGAAAATTCTTAAATATACTTTCTAGCTTATGAAAATTCGGATGAACATAACTACCTTCTTCGCAAGTCCAACTTCTAGAACGGAGATAATCGAAGAATTTTAAAATCACCATAAATGTTTTATGGATAATGTTTTTTACGATTGTCATTTTTTGGGACAGAAGACACCTGAAAAAGTAATTTGTAAGTTGAGCAAAATCAAGCTATAGTATAACTAACGAACGGTAATGTTTCTCTATGACCGTGGCAAAAACGTACATTTTTTTAGACCCATTCTCTAGGCAGATTTCAGATGAACGATACAATTTTTTGTTATGTTGATTATTCATCGACTATACGATCGGAAGTTCGAGTGATAATCTTCACCAGAACTGACGCTTTTTTTATTAAATATATTAAAATGTTATTGTATTAGAATAAATCAACTAAGATGGTATGGTTAAGTGCAGAGAATGAGGGAAGATCGTTTACCAAAGCAGATACTACAATTTACACCACAAGGTAAAAGGAAGAAAGAAAGACTAAGTTGGAGAGAAGGCATTGACAGGAGATAAGAAAGATACGTCAACTTAAGGAAAGACAAAGAGGCCTGCAAACTAGAAATCGGAAAGCACCGGAGTACCCGATTGTATATATATATATATATATATATATATATATATATATATATATATATATATATATATATACAACAGAAAAAAATTAGTATTACAAGCAGACGATTCAGAAGTCAAAGCTGCAAAACTAATCGCTTATTTAGAAGTCTAAATCTGTTGGACTAAAATATAGATGTAGAGGGTATTAAGGGTATTATAGAAAAAAATTAATCAAGAAAAATAAATGGATGGCAGACGACATCTTGAAATTAATAGAACAACGTAGACTGATAAAATCTAATGAAACAGAATATAGACACCTTCAGAGAAGAATAAGAAAGGAGATCAAATTAGCCAAGGAAAATGGATGAGGGATGAAAGAAAAGTGCGACGAAATGGAGGATGTAATATCTAAACACGACTTATTTAATGTGCACAAAAAACCAAAAGAAATGAGTAACATATTTAAAAAACCATTTCCCTCTGTACTCGTTGACAATAATAACAAAATTATTGTAAATAAGCACGAAATAAGAAAAGAAGGCTACTGTATATATCAGAGTTGTTTGAAGATGACAGGAATAATATTACCGAATTCTACCAAAACTGTACTGACGGCCCATAAATTATGAAATGCGAGATAGAACTCTACAAATAATGCTAAAATTAAAAAAGCTTGTGGTCCAGATGATACACCAACTGAGTTACTGAAACTAATAGAGGATACAACATAAAAGTATTAGTAAGACTTAAATTTTTTAAGTTATTTAATTTTAATTCAATATATAACACCGGAGCGATTCCCACAGATTGGCTCAAATCCATCTCTCACTGCGAGAAAATGCTCAGAATATCGATTAATTAGCCTAATGAGCCACACTCTTAAAATTTTCCTAAGAATACTTCACAACTTTATATGCTTAACTTTGCGCTTAACATCCTATTACAAAAATGCCGTGACCAAAGAAAAGATGTATTTGCATGTTTCGTGGACTTCGAAAAGGCATTCGATAAAGTACAGCATGTAAAATTAATGCAAATACTTAAACATATCGGAGTAGTTGACAAGAATATTCGTGTCATTAAAAATTTGTACTGAAGTCAAACTGTTATCGTAAAAATTGGAGATAACTACACCGATGAAATCTCCATTCAACGAGGTATCAGACAAGGTTGCATTTTGTCGCCAACATTGTTCAATGTTTACTCGGACCAGTTATTTAAAAAGGCTTTTGAGAGACAACCATGTGGAAAAAAATCAACGGGGAACTACGTCATGTAATTAGATATGCAAACGATACACTAATTCTGTCAAATAATATTGAAGGTCTCCAAATTCTGCTTGATTGTATTCACGAGGTAGGAGAGGAAATGGGCATTAAAATAAACTCAAACAAAACCAAATTTTTAGTATTTAGTCGTGACCCACATTTCGATGCAAAGTTTCAATTAAACTGAGTCCAAGTTGAGAAATTTGACAAAATGACTAATTTGGGAACTGTGATAACGGAATATGAGAAGTGAAAAATGCGAACTACTAAGGAATATAATGCAGGGTAAAATCAAAGGTAGACGTAGGAAGACGTAAAATCTCGTGGCTACGAAATCTCCGTGAATGGTTTGGATGCAGTTTAATTGAACTATTCAGGCGCGTAACCAATAAAATTATAATTGCCAGAATGATTTCCAATCTCCGATAGGAGTGGAACTTGAAACTTGAAGAAGAAGAAGATAACGGAACAAAACTAAATTCAAGCATAGAAATAAAACGTAGAATAGCAATGACTAAAACTACTTTTATGAAAATGAAGTCATTTCTTTGCAATAATCATCTCAGTTTAGATCTAAGACAAAGAATGGTTGTGCTATGTTTGGTCCGTACTTTTGTATAGTGTAGAAGTGTGGACGCTAAAAGTATCGATCATGAACAAAATTGAAGCATTGGAAATGTGGGTTCATAGACGAATGCTGAAGATACCTTGGACAGCAAGGAAAACTAATGAAGAATTAGAAAACAAAGATAGAGAACTGCTAAAGACTGTTAAACATCGAAATGTTTTATCTGGGACATATAGTAAGGGGAAGTCGATATAACACAATTTCATATAGCACACAATTCTATATAGTGGCAAAGAACAAGGAATCAAAGAATGTGGAGTTGCATTTGTGGTAGATAATGATTTTAAGTCAAAAATCATAGACTTCCAGGCAGTGAATGAAAGGATATGCAAACTAAGAATTCGCACCCACTTCTTCAACCTTACTATGATAAACATCTACTGCCCAACAGATGAACAAGAGCAACATACAAAGGAAAGCTTCTACCAACAGCTGGAGATAGTATATGACAACGCGCCAAAAAATGACATTAAGGTTATAATGGGTGATATGAATGCCAAAATAGGCAAGGAACCGCAGTTCTATGGCACAACAGGAAAACACTCACTGCACAATGAAACAAGCGAGAATGGGGAGTTTTTGATAAATTTTGCCACCAGTAAAAACATGGTTATAAGCTCCACATGCTTCCCACATAAAGACATACACAAAATGACGTGGATCTCACCAGATGGAACCACAACCAATCAAATTGACCATGTGATGATAGACAAAAGGGCAGCCAGTAGTATCTCTGATGTGAGAACACGACGAGGAGCATGCTGTGGATCAGACCATCTTTTACTGCAAACCAAATTTAGGTGCAGAGTTAACAGAGAAAGAAACGAAAGACAACAAAGAACAAACAAACTAGACCTGGAAAAACTGAAGACTCAGGAATGTAGAGAGAAGTTCGAGCAAGAAGTCACAAATGAGCTAAGGACACAAGAACTGCACTCCATAGAGAGCAAATGGAATAATATCAAAACAGCAGTGCTGACAGCAGCAGTGTCCACCGTGGGAAACAAGAAAAAGAAGAGAAGAGGAACATGGTTCGATGACGAGTGCAGGCAAGCGATAGAAGAAAGAAACGAAGCGCACAAAATGTACATAACAAGAAGAACACGGGAAAGACGAACATCATTTGAAGTCGCAAGACGGAAAGCAGACAAGATATGCAGAAACAAAAAGAGAGCTTATGAAAATGGACAAATAGAAGAAATGGAACAAAATTTCAAAAAAAAAAACGAAATTAGAGGAGCTTACGAATACCTAAAAAAGATAAAAAGTGGATATACACCTCAAACAAGCCTATGCAAAGATGAAAGTGGGCAAATAATCAGTGACCAACAGAAAGTCACAGAAACCTGGAAGCATTATTTTCAGACCCTACTTGGAAAACAAGTAGATATGGAAGATGAAATGGGTACGAACCATGTAGAAGAGAACGAAGTTGAAGTAGAAGCTCCAACCATAGAGGAAGTTCTCGAAGCTATTAAGGCCCAGAAAAACAATAAAGCCCCGGGAGTTGACGAGATTCCAGCAGAACTGTATAAGGTAGGTGGCAACCACCTATCAAGTCATATCCACGCGCTTATCAAAGAAATATGGCAAGAAGAGAAAATACCCGACGAATGGAAGAAAAGTATAGTATGCCCAATCTATAAAAAAGGAGACAAACTCCAATGCAAAAACTACCGTGGAATCTCTCTACTATGTACAGCGTATAAAGTCCTCACGTATATTATAAACCAGCGACTCCAACCACTAGCAGAAAATATTATTGGAGAATATCAGACGGGCTTCAGACGGGGAAGATCGACAATGGATCAAATATTTACAGTCAAGCAGGTCTTGAGCAAATCGTGGGAACACGACATTGATGTTCACAACGTGTTTGTAGACTTCAAACAGGCATACGATTCAGTCAAAAGGGACAGACTATACTATATATTGGCAGAATTAGCAATACCACATAAGCTAATTAGACTCATTAAAGCCACAATGGATGAAACCCAGGCATGTGTACGAATACAAAACAACCGGACAGACTTTTTCAAAATCTCGCAGGGACTAAAGCAGGGAGATGGGCTGGCACCAACATTGTTTAACCTGGCACTGGAGTATGCGGTTAGGCAAATGCAAACTGGACGAGAAAACCTACTGACCAATAAAACGGTTCAACTGGCTGCCTACGCCGATGATATTAATATTATGAGTAGAACATCAACAGGAGCACAGGAAGCATACGCAGAGTTAAAAACACAAACGAAAAGGCTAGGTCTGGAAATTAACACAGAAAAAACAAAAATAATGGTACAGACGAGAAGAAATATAATCCCACAAAACATTATACATGAAGATGGCATTGAAACGGTTGGAAAGTTTACATACCTGGGAGTAGAAATATATGCCGATGGAGCAGAGGATGGAGAAATACGAAAAAGGATAACGCAGGCAAACAAAGCTTATTTTGCCCTCTCCCATATATTTCGGTCTAAAAGTGTCCACCGAAATACAAAGATGAGAATATATAAAACTTTAATTCGGCCAATAGCATGTTATGGCAGCGAAGCATGGGTCCTGAAAGAAACATCCAAAAACAAACTCGACACATTCGAAAGAAAAGTACTGAGGAGAATACTAGGACCTGTGAGGGAAAACGGAATCTTCAGAATTCGATATAACAACGAGCTCTATCAACTGTATAAGGAAACACCCCTGTCAGACTTCATTAGAATACAAAGATTGCAATGGGCCGGACATGTGATACGAATGGGAGAGGATAGGCTACCAAAACGAGCACTGAACGCCAGAATGCAGGGAAAGAGACCAGTTGGAAAGCCAAGAAAGCGCTGGGAAGACACAGTAAGCAGCGACGCCCAAGCACTTTTAGGAGTCCGTGTATGGAGAAGAGCAGCCACAGACAGACAAGGGTGGAGGCAAAAAATAAAGGAGGCCAAGGCTCATTTTGGGCTGTAGTGCCGTAGAAGTAGATATAAAATATAACAACTGATCCTTGAAGGCAAAATAGAGGGCCGTAGAGGTGTAGGAACGAAACGGGTTTCTTGGTTGAGGAACATTCGCGAATGGACTCATCCAGACTTTCATATTGCAGAAGATCGAGAAGCCTTCGCAATGGTGATGGCCAACGTCGGATAATTCTGATATGACACGCGAAGAAGAAGAAGGTATATATTAAAGAACTTTCTAACCACAGTATGGAAGAGCTACAAAGTCAACCAACTCTTTTGAAATCCACACAAGTAAAATAGAAGATCCAATACATGGAAATATGGATATAATTTGCATAAATCCTGATTGCTCTACAGAAACCCTTAAAAATATTCTTAATTTTCTGATTAAGAATTTCAACAACTTCCACCTTTTAACAATTAGGATCTCCAGTTTGACATCCTAATATGGATACTGTCACAAATATCTATCACAGGTAAAGAAAAAGCAGATATACGTAACCTGATTATGGATCTGAATAGAACAAATCCAATTTCATAAAAGATTGCAAAGATTTCTTGCAGTTAAACAAATATAAGTAATAAACTGGCAACAAACTCTTAATAAGTTCTCCAATCAAGTCCATTGTTTCCATGCAGCACTCTACGAACACAAAAGTCGTAATATTCATATTACACCACTGTCGACTCAAACAATTCTCGACTCAAACGACCTATTTATGACCTTAAACAATTTTCTGTTTTATCATTATTGGCACAGTCATCATCATAAACATCATTACTCAATGACACATCCACGTAACTAGTCGATATCGATATACACCTAATAAATATTTATGAAATGTAGAAAAAATTATACTTACATAAACAAAATATTTTTTATATACAAAGTATGTGTTTCGTACAGCTCGTCTAAATTAGTAACAACTGCCAAGTTTTTTTCAAAAACTGCAAAGTTAGATTGTAATACTTCTCCGACGACATAATTTTGCAAAGTTTGTACAAATTGCGTCATTATGTGGCGGCACTGGTGCAATTTTCTATATTGCGGTGAAGCCATAAGGTAAATTTCCTTCTTGCCTGTTTCCCTAGCAAGAACTTTCAATTCCTGGAAGAAATTTTACATTATAATCAAATAAATATGACTTTAATCGTATTAGTTTAATTAAAAGTAACCTTCATGATATGAAATGTTCAACAGCCCCCAGAACAACCTTTTCCATTTCCGTCAATTTCAAGGATATATTACTTTTCTTAATATTCTTCCTATATTATACAGTCTATCCCAATTATTAGAGCCATAAAACTTGAATTAATACCTTCAGCGTCAAGCCTATCCTCAAATAACACGAATTTTCGATGAATTTTTTAACATATTGAGTTTTTAAACTATTTTATATAAAATTTAATGATTTTCTGACTTTTTTGTGAATAGTTTTACATATATTGACTGTATCTTTTTTATACACAGGCCTAAGGAATAGTTTTTGAAGGTTATATATTTCACAAGCCATGTGTTTCTAAGATGATATACGAACTCTAACAACTAATTAATGGGACAAATTAAAATACATGCAATTTATTGTATTTTCAATTAAATAGTGAGACATAGAACAAATATTTATTTTTTAAACGGAGTAGCATCGTTGTAAGACCTTATGGCCACTCGAATCCGGTTGGACATTTACTCGACCAATAATCTGCTGTTCAGAGGTAAATTCATTGCAAATCTGTGAAAAATATAATTCCCCTCAGCATTTAATTTCACAATACTGGGTAGTACTACTCTATTTTGAGGAATTTGTTGATGTTTCGCAGCATTTACGGTATCCTCAAGAAATTAAAAACATCCTAACCCTGACACCGCCATATAACCCCAACTCATCTAGGAAATTTTACGGTTCGTTTCAAACAGTCTTTGTGAAAAGCCTCATGTTTAGTGTGAATAGCTTAGAATATAATTATTAAACCATTAACTTTTTTTTAGTAAAACAAAAAACATATTTTATATAATAGAAAGCAACAGAGAGTTAGCTTAAAAGTCGTGCCGGCACATATCTCTTTCCTGAAATCAAAAAGTCATAAATTCTAATAACTCTTAAAATTTTCAGTAGCTGTTATTATACATACCAAAAATATTTTCTTTAGCACCCATGATACTCTATTTAATTTCATTAAAAATTTGAAGACTTCGTCATATTTTGCTATGGTATCCGTTGGTAGCAAAATATTTAATGGCCAATTGACCTGAAGAAAAAAATACACAAAATATTTTATAACTCTGAATATCTGCAGAAAAATGTGTAATTAATAAGTTGTTCAATAAGTTTTGCAGTTTGATAAGAAAAACACAATGGTATGAAATTTCGGTTTTGAATTTTTTTTATGCATTTGAAATATGCTACATAACTTCAGCTACAAATTAAACTCAATACCGTCTTCATGGAATAATTTATGTGACGTCCGATCGTTTGTAATGTGAAAGTTTAAATCCAGCGTTTTTTAGGCATATTTCAAATGCCCCATATTTATTGCCAAAACTCAAAATCGAAATTTCATGTTATACCTTGGATTTGAAGATTAAATATTGATATAAGGATATTGAATAAGGATTGATAATAAACACATTTTAGAGTTTGTTTATATATCACAAATGCATATTTCCTCGGTATTCTTTTGATCGAAGCCGCTTTTAGGATATTTTGCGCGTCAAGTGGCAGAATATTCTCGTTTGTGTTTTGTTTATACCAAGTTGGGCGAATGAATTTTAAAGATAATTACATCATTCTCCGTAAAGCCGCTGTCAATGGCAGTTGATTTCGTTGTAGTTCGAATTTAGCTTCAAATTCGTATTGGATTTTGGTTTTTCGCCTTTTTTTTAATGGGAAAATGTGTAGCAATGTTAAGTTATATGTGCAGTTTTAGAAGTTGGAAATATTGGCCATTGAAAGCAAACGGGCGGCTGTGTAGTTTGAGTGAACCGGCAAATTGGTTAAATAAAGTGATTTATACTCAATTTAATGACTCAATTTGGAACGAGTAATCACTGTGTTTTATGTTCCATTCCGTCTCTAATCTGAGATATTTGTAAAACGGCGTTTACAACAACTTTGAAGGATAACCACATGTTTCCACTTTGCCCAGCAGCTGCCATCCTCGTTTTGTTTGTCCTTAGTTGTTACCCCAGGCTTTTTCGCAGTTTGGAAATGAATTTGTTCGTGTGGCAGTGAGTGTAAGTCCAGTTCCTGGTAATCCCCAGAAATTTTAGTGACATCCAGGTAACTTTCGTGTTTGATTTTCAAAGAAAAAATAAACATTTTCTAATAATAATTGCTTTCATAACAATTTAAGAAATTGTAATAATTAAAATTGTAGATCTTAGGGTGTGGCCTAGGGCCTAGCTGATATATTAATTGATATAAGGTTGAATGCTCGAATAAATGAACTTTTTGATAATATAAAAGACAAATATCGAGCACAGTATTAATTTAATCTTGCCCAAGTACTTTCGATCACTAGATCATCTTCAGGGGCATTTCGTCAATTGCGGCCTATCCGATAAGAGTAAAATGTCATAAACATAAAATGGGACATTACAATACACTACACAAGGATGAACAAACACTTTAAAATTTGGAAAATAGGCGAAGCTACATTGTCTATAGAAGCCGGAAACAGAATGATTCTGTTTCATTGAATGAATTCAGATGAATGATTACTAAAACAGATAAATAACTAACCTTATACGTTAAAGAAAGGCAATCCAACACATCGGGATTGCCCAGATCGAAACACTTTGGTAAACTATTAATCTTGAATGATATATTGCTGGCAAGTCTTTGGTTTTTATTGGACATGTCGAGAGCTCCGAAAATTAACTCCTGCAGCGTTCGGCAGTTTATAAGTTGAGCAGGAGAATCCGCTTCATACAGTTTCGTGAATAAATTATCGGTTATATTTCTTCCAAACTCACCGTCTTGAAGAAAAAAGTAATCTCTTAAGCTTGATATATGTTTTAAATATTCCAGATCTTCGATGAAATATCTAAAAATATGAAATTTAAGTTAGAATGTATCATAAATATTTGGAAACACAAAAATTTCAAGGTGTGGACTCCTTCATATACCTAGGCTAACTGTTGACTAAAGACTCAAGAAAGTCAGTGAAGAAATTAAAAGAAAAATAGTACTTGCCAATAATTATTACTATGAGTGAGGACAGATGGCCTCAAAACTACTTGGAAAAATTAAAGTGACCGTCTATAAAACACTAATTAGACCAGTGCTAAAATATGGAGCAGAAACTATAAGGTTACTTACACAGAAAGACCAAGAACTACTTAAATTTTTTGAGCCAAAATTCCTGAGAAGAATGCGAGTATATGGAGGAACAAGAGCAAGGTTTGTGGCGCAGGCGTTGCAACTTTGAGTGTATATAAGTTTTGGGAAACCTGGCGTTGTAAAATTCATTAAGCCTTAGATGGATAAGACACGTAATCAGGCAAGAAGAAGGTGGAACAGTCAGAAAAGTTTCTGACCGAAGAGGGCCGATGGAACAATGAGCCAGAGGAAAATCGAGACTTAAGTATCAAGACAACTTGGAGAACGATTTGAAATCAGTTGGAGTTAGAGCATGGAGAAAAGGTGCCAGAGACAAAGATGAATAGAAGATTGTTCAGAAAAAGGCTTTGGCTCATAACGGGCTGTGATACCACAAATGATGATGATAAAGCACAATAATTTAGATAGTATAGATTGGAGTTTCAGAAATAGTTCTGAAAACTAATTCAGAGTTTACATGCGATATATAAGTATGTACATATATGGAATATATAAATTTTCCAGAAATATTAGCGGTTTATAAACAGTAATTCATTTCAATTAATTGTTACCCCAAATAAACAGATTTGAACTAACTGAACTTTTGTTTGTTCAGACAATTGTTATAGACCAGAAAAGATATATGTGTCCCTTTTTTAATTTGCACCTGCAGAATAACTTTATACTCTGTCATTTTTAAGGGACTAAAAACGCAGAAGAGAATCGCACAAGTTTCGATTTTTCTTATGTAGCGACAAGTTACAGAAAAGCACTTCAGAACTTTCAGTTCCGGAAAGAGCTATAATGGGAATTGCCAGAAGTATAAGTAGCATACATAAAAGAAAACGAAATCTATTGAAGAGGCTGCTTTTTTGACAACTAATAAAAACACACTATTTGATGACTCTCAGTAGTGTTTGTTCAGATACTGGGGGTATTTCAAGGTGATATTTCTTGTTGATTGATGTATTCTAGTGATGATATTTAGGAAATAATGTAAGGAATTAGAAGAGACACTGTAAGAGAGCAAAGCACGTTCTTAAAGGAAATATAAAACGCAATTTATGAACAAGAAGGACTGAACAACGGTTTGATGGACATTAACTGTAAAGAAGAATCAATCAAATTCATCGTGGGCAAGAAAAACAACACGAAGTCTACAGAAAACCAACTCACCTCAACAGATATTTAGATTATCACTTAAACCACAACATAAATATCAATAGTGGAATTATGAAATCACCTGATAGAGTCCAAAACACCTACTCCAACGAAAATGCATTCCAAGAAGAAAAAATCGGCTAACAAAGATTTTAACAAAAAAATGCTGATGGCAGTAATAGTTTTATCCATAACTTTTCAGAAGGTACAATTGTTTTGAATTTCTATAACCTTCTAATTTGTATAAATTATTCGGAAACTTTGTGGAAGATATGCTTTTGAAGAGATTAACGTTTATTTTAAAAGTCCCTTGTAATCAGCGTATCGTCTCTCCGGCTGAGGGCTGGTGAAGGCAATTAAGATTTAATGACTTTCGTCTGAGAATGTGGAGTATCGAATATCATATATTATAAGAATATATTCAACAGTTAGTGTTAGTTAGTCGAATTTGTACCACCGAAAGAAACTGAATTAAATAAAACTTTTAAAGTAACATTTGTGTATTTTAATAAAAAAGTATTTTTTTTTTGTAATAGAAATTTAATTTTGTATTTTTTCGAACTAGGATTGTCTTGCGAAAATTAATCGTAGGACATTCCAAACGTAATAGTAAGATAGAAAAAGCCTGACGGGGAGAAAATTGGAGAAGCGGATTGACTGGCTTATTTTGAGAGGAGAGAAGCGAAAAGATAAATATATGGGAACCAAGTAAGTGGATCATCTTAAAATTAATGTTTACAGAACTCGGTTGTCCAAGTTGAGAAGCAGTGAGTTTTTGAAAAAGCTTATTTATTGATTACAAAGGAAAAGTGATTGTTCTATGGGAGTCTTGGATATATAGAAGATAGCTGACCCGAGATACACTGTAAGTTATTTGTGTGACTTTTTGCCATAGCTCGATAGCGAAGCGCTCATATTAAATTATTGGAGTCTTCGGTTTGGTTACAAAGTCAGTTTTCCGTGTAAAATTATATTTGTTTCAGCAATGAAATCAGTACTAATAGTTTATTGTGGAGGTTTGAAAATTTATTTATATTATTTAAAGGGTAGTAAATAATATTGCCATTAAGTAGTTGTTTCGATCTGATCAGATACTTAATAGGAATACATTTTTTATTTGAATTTTACATAACATTATTTTATTTAGTGTGAATTTTTGGTTCGTGTATGTTGCATATTACTGTTTCAATTGGCTTCTATGAATCTAAATACAATACTGAAGTAAGATGATAAATTTTAAGTAAAAGTTCAAAGGAAAACTAATACTAGCAAGACAATATTATTTCTTACCTTAATAATTCATCATTGATTAATTTCGTTTGGGTGACGAGAGGTATTTGAACGCTTTCGTGTAAAAATAATTTTAAAGAGTTTGTGAACACTCCTGCGGTTTGTTTTCTATTAACTCTTTTCGAAAACACATTCTTCTGTAAACTATGATCACTTCTATTGAGGTAAATCGGCACAACGGGTTTCTCCTTGTCACTTTTTTGGGAAAAGTTAAAGTCTTTGTCTAACTGTCTAACTTCCGCCGTATTGGGATGACTATCCGTGAGAAGAGTATCACAACTTAAAAATGCTGTAGTACTTGGAGTCACTAGAGGACTATGGATTAAATCACTCATTGGAGTTGAATCTACAGACATTGGAATTTGCCGGTCTGATTCATATTTGCCTACTTTGGGGACTGTCTGAAAATATATTTTGATTTTATAAAATTGTATATAAAAAAATTCAAATATTATGTTATGCAAGCGACGCCGCATGAATTGCCGAGACAGAAGACGAGCTAGAAAGATTAACACATATCTTCAATATAACAGCTAAGAAATACAATAATATTATCAGAAAAAAACAAATGTATGACAACATCTAAATACCCACTACGGTTTAAATCAAAATTCATGGGAAAATAATAAAGCAGGAAGCAAGGTTTAGATATCTGGGAATAGATATAACGGAGATGTTGAAGAAGTACGACAATAAAGCTTAAAAGAAAGTAAAGCGGCGGGTTCTCTTAATGACACAATCTGGAAGAATAAACACCTAAGACAAGACACAAAAACAAGAATCTATAAAGCAGCAATTAGACCTATATTAACATACACCGCGGAGACAAGACCTGACAGATCTAAAACGAGACGACTGCTACAAACAACAGAGATGAAAATACTCCGACGAATATTAGGGAAAAGTCTGTTGGATAGGAAGATAAGCAAAAACATAAGAAAAGCATGCAATATAGAAGACATAAATGGATGGGTGACAAAACGAAAACATGAGTGGAACGAACATATCAGTAGAATGACAGAGGATAGAATAGTACGAATAGTACGAGATAAGTTACCAAATGGACGAAGAAGTATTGGCAGACCAAGAAAAAGATGGTGCGACAATTTAAACAATTTAGGAGGCTAATATTGAAGAAGAAACAGACTTTAAAGCCTACATACTAGAAGGAAGAAGAAGAAGTATATAAAAATACAATAAAAATTTCTTAAATTATTATTTCCGACTGTGATTCACTTATGTACTTCATAATTATATGATCTGTCAATTTAACGATATAAAATACTCGGGATAATGCGGCAACGCTGAGCTGTAAACTTGGAAGATGGCTGGAATAACAATATAAGTTTAAAAACCTCGTTGATTTTCTAGATGCAAATCTCTGCTGTTTCGCTACGAAGCCAAGAGGAAATCTTGGATGACGGCTGATATATTTACTGGGTTGCTCATTACAATTGATGAAAAAAATGATTAAAGACACGAAAAATATTACTTTTCATCGACAACTTTCATGCACCCATTATGATTCAGCCAGGATATATTTCAGTCATATTTCAGACAGGAAATCCTTCGCCTTCCTGGTTCTCGTTTTCCTCGTAGAATTAATTGCAGCAACCCATATCTTTCGCTGTTCCTCATGATGTGACCGAGGTATTCGATTTTGACTGTTTTTATTGTGGTTAGGTGTTGGCATCAAACAAAGTATAAACAAATTTTAGAGAAGGCTCAAAGAAAAGCCCTATTAAGCATTGTATGCGCCTACAGAACGATCTCGGCGGCGACCCTTCAAGTTATCTGGGTAGTACCAATAGACCTGCAGGTTAAAGAGAGCCAAAATATACGGAGAGAGTAATCAAAAGAAGACAAAAGAAAAAACAGAAAAAAAAATCAATGCTTTTAGGATTCACTTTTTTCGAGAATGCGTATTTCCAAGGTTCATGAGGTTTTGCACCAAGTCAACATACCATAATGAACCAGCAACTATGGATACATTCACTGATGTTAAAATCATTAACTTAGTTCATAAAAATGGAGAGAATGATGACGCTGATAATGACTACCTATCAGATTCTGTGGGTAGCATGAATAAACAGGACAAAGAAGCTATGACTCGCTCATCCGAAATTCGAATTCTAGAGATTCCATTTTATTATTAGAACATCATTAAAATTTTAATCTACTCGACAAATCTAAATTATATTTCTGTTACCTAAATGATAATAATACACTCACCTTACTTAAGTCTAACGATAACGACTTGTATTTTTTAATAGTACTGTTGGCGTCACTGTCATCTGCTTTAACATCACTTGCGTTTTTTAAGTTTCTATTTAACAAATTATTTTCGTTGTCCAATTTATAATCGAAACAATCGCTAATACCCATCACTTTATTTCTATTAATAATTGCTGTTGTTAGTACTTTATTTTTGAAAACTTCAGGAGGCACTGGTATCCCGAATTCGGAAGACAGTACTCTAAGTTTGTTTCTTTGTGCCTGAGAAATGTAAATGGTAGGAGGATTGTCTACCGACTGAATTGTTTTTTGTTTTAAATCCATTCCTAGAAATAATCACATCACATACATAATAAATGTATATATGTATATATGTACTAAATTATAGAAATAGCTATACTGTTAAGATATATCTATAGAAGAGTTCTACAGACCATGTTTCATTTTTTCATTAGATTAGTTTCCAGAAACTAATAAATTAAACATTAAATGAGGAATTTACGAATCAAGTGAGAAGAATTCAATACTCGATTTAAGAATTAAGCAACAATGTCCATTATAAAAATGTTAGAGGAGTAAGGACAAAACTTAATACCCTCTCTGGATCAGTAACAGCGAATAATTAATTAATACTGAAACCTCATTATGTGATAGTATAGAGAGTAATGAACTAGGCATCTCACAGTATAATATATACCGCTGTGATAGATCAAGCTTAACCAGTTCATGTGAACGACTTGGAGGAGTTCTTATAGCGATTAATAGGAACATTTCTTCAGTTTTAGTAAATCATCAATTTAAAAACATTGAATGTATTTTTGTTGAACTTTTATTTGGAAAAGTGTCTGATGGGATGTGTTTATTTACCTCCAAACCCTCCATTATGTTTGTATGAATATGTAAATTGCGTAGGAAGTATTTTATATGAAACACAGTACAGTTTGGTATATCTAATTGGTGATTTATCCTACCAAATATTCATTGCGAAAATGATGAATATGGTACTAGACTGATTGGAAATATTACTAACAAAGTTGAATGTATTTCAGAAAGTTTAGCTTTTTTAAATCTCTTTTAAATATGAGAATATAACTTCTGATAATAACCAAAATATAGCAAATTTGTTTAGAAATTTTTTTAATTTAACCTACAGTGCGTTAAGTTTTTGATTAGGTATTGCAAACTATACAGAGCGCTAAAATCGGCAACGTTGCAAATGTTCGTTCTCCGACCCGAGACTATCTCAGTATCTACACCGACAGAAAATCATTTATTTTAGTTTAGTAACTCACAACAACGTTTGGGATGTACTTCGCTGTCGTCCGATCTCATGTTTCATTGCATATAGCCGATTTTAATAGTAGGAAATTCGATAAAAATGCACTGACCTAATCGGTGCATTGTTATCGATTTTTATTAATGTGAAAATTTTTTTGTGGTTGAATTAAAAATAAAAGCGTATTTCTTTAAAAAGATAAAATAAAAAACATACTCTTATTGAAAATTAAAATATTATGCCTAATAAAATAAAAAATAATTCTTTATGACCTACAGAAATGGTTCAAATAGTTGACCTTCTACGGCTGAACAGTACCCCAATCTGTCATAAAAACTTCTGCGAACAGATGAAAGAGTTTCTGCTGTAACAGAATTGGAGACTTCTCTTATTCGAATTTTTAATTCATCCAAATTTTGGGATCTAGCCTCAGGATGAGCGTAGATAATGCTTGTTAAATGTCCCCAAAAAAAAGAAGTCCATGGGTGTAAGATCTGGAGATCGCGCAGGCCACTTAATATCGCCTGTTCCACTGATAACTCGATTCGGGAAAGTATTGTTTAAATACTCCCTAATAATTCGAGCGTTGTGAACTGAACAGCCGTCTTGATGAAACCAAACATTCTCCAGATTTACATCAGGAAGATTGAGAATAGCGGGAAGAAGATGATTCTGTAACAAATCGAGGTATACTCTACTATTCAAGTTGCCCTCAATAAAAAATGGACCTATTATGTGGTCTCCTAAAATGCCAGTCCAGACGTTAACTTTTTGAGGACGTTGAGTTCGGTAAACAACACTTCTGTACTGGTTTTCCCGCGCCCAATACCTCATAATGGAAGGATTGTGTCTCCCTACTAACGAAACAGAAGATTCATCAGTGAATAAAATGTTTTTAATAAAATTTGGTTCACTATTAGCCTTCGTTATTAGAGTTTCACAAAACTCCATTCTTCTAAAGTAATCGTCTGGATAAAGCTGCTGCGTTTCGAATATTTAAAATTCTTGTAACCGTGCTTTTTCCATACTTTCGTTACAGTAACATTGCTAACATCTAACTCTCTAGCAACGCTTCTACTTGAACGTGTTGAATCTACCTCGATTGTTGCACAAATTTGTGTATCCCGGTATTCTCTTTCCTCAACTTTTTCTGGTAACACTTATTGAGCGTGACATTTTCTGCAATTTTTGAGGCAACAACTCTCAAAATTTTTAACAATATTATAAATTGACTGTACACAAGGAATTGGTCTTCCCTCAAAAAACACAGAAAATAAATCTACACACTGTTGCGCAGAATTGCCACTATAAAACCATTTTATTATTTGAGCTTTTTCCGCGGCCATATAAACAGACATATTTACAAAAATAAATTAAAACTCTACGCTGTTATTCCTTTAAACAACCACGGTATAATGACAATATGACAAATTTGCCGACGGGCGACGAGCAACGACGAGTCAACGAAGCAGATATGTAGTGCAAATCGACGACGCGCAGTGTTGCCATTTATAGAGTGTATACCTAATCCAAAACTTAACACACTGTATATTACTAGTAATACAGATTATTCAGATATAAACTCTGATAATAGCCTTTGATAATAGCCTAAGATTGATCTAAAAGTAAGTTGTGGACCTGGTAATATATCCCCTTTGTTCATATTTAACTGTAGATTTATTCTGAGTTATATTTTACAAAAAATATTTAGTTTATCATTGAGCTCAGGTGTCTTTTGAGAGATATGGAAGAAAAGATATATTACCCCAGTTCATAAGGTGGTAATAGAGAAAATATTGAAAACTACCGAGATATATCTAAAATGTCAGTTTTCGCTAAATCTTTTAAAGGGACTGTAGCTGCAAAACTTGTCAAACGCGTCAACTGAAGACTGGAATAACAGTTTTACCAATTGGTTTGAACGTATGTAAAGGTGTATCGATCTTGGTGGAACAAATTTTGGAAAGCAATAAAGTACTTTAAGTGTATATATTTGTCTTTATGGCCATATACAAAACTAAAAAGACAACCCTCGTATTATTGCTTTAAGCCGTTAGTTTCTATAGTTTCTATAACAATCAATTATAAAGAGCATTCTTAATTTTCATTGTCATTAATGTGTTTGTTAACTACTACAAATTCCAAATCGTGGTATAAATTAGACACGAAGGAATAGGGTCATGAATACAATAATTGTGATGTTGCCAGAACGTGCTAAAAGTCTTGAAAATATTTCGAATATAAAATAAATAGAATATAAAGAGATTAAAAATTATCTGAAGGCCCGACCGAGAGTTACCTTCCGCGTGGTTATTACAGATAATAGAAAATGATTCCCACAGATGATGGACAAAAAATTTGGAGTGAAAACAGTGGCTGGAAAGATTTTTCGGTAAAGAAAACTAGGAAAACATACAAACTCCTATCAAACAAACAAAGTATGATAAATTAGATCACACGTTGGAATTAATACGAACTCTGTGAGTAAAATTGAAAGATTTAAAGTAAGATATAATGGAAGTAAAAGGGATCAAGAAGAGTTAAAGCAAATAAATCTTTCAGAAAACTGAAAAGTCTGAGAAAAGCAAAAGAATATATGTAAATGGAATAGCTGTAGAAACTATTTACTGTAATAAAACAACAGACAGTGGTTCATATAATGACTTAAAACATTTCGAGGAATAATCCAACCGAAGAACATTTCAATACACAAAAATATAAACGGTGGACGTGTACACAGGACGGTACATAAAAGCAAAATTTTAAGTACATATTCAGACTTACCTAACTCTTCTGTCATGACTTTTCTTTTGTTTTCTCTTGCTTTGGCGAAATTATCTATAGCCTGCTGTATAGTTGGTGATACCGTTTCCATATTTGCATTATCATCGACAGTTTCAGAATTAGCATTAATAACATCCAAATTTTCGTCCCCAACTAAAGTATCTTTATCTTCGATATCGTTAAGATTGTCGGATGTAATAGCTTCGATGGTTTCATCTTTCGTTTTGTTAATATCGTCAGGTATCGAGTAAAAGCTTTCAGTGGAACTATTTGTTAAATGGTCGGGAGATTTGTAAGTTTCTTTTTCCTTGTTTAGACTATTATCAAAACTTTCGTGGTGTGCGTTATAATCTATGTGAATATTTTTAACAGAGTTTATGTGTTTATCGATTTTTACTTTCTTTTTATCAGCTATTTCGAACAGTTTGGAATAGTAATCGATAATGTTCATTCTAAAAAGAATATGATTATAACAAAAACATATTAAAAAGAAAAGAGCCAATAAAACCATTTTATTTCATTGAACTGCCATATACGGTACGACCTAGAGCCTATTATGGATTAAGAAAATTTTTAACAACAAAAGAAAATTTTATCTTAGTTTATCATATCGAATATCGTCACACCCATCTACCGAAATAAATAAACAGTACGTTTTTGTATTCAAGCATTATATTCAGTAGACACTTAACGATAATTACTTTTTCATTTGTATGTTAATTCGAAATAAATGTCTATACGAACGAATCCTGTTTCTCTGGCTGAATTACACTACCCGACCTCACAAATTATGAAAATATGTTAATTGCTGGATGTACTCAGACTGCATAATCCAGCTCCCACACTCAAACCTGTCAACAATAACTGAGATGACTTTGTTTGGAGGCAAATAATTCACAGAGGGTGAATGCAAGAACTAGACTAAAACAATCCACTTGAGAGTGGTTGGTTGCTTACTTTAAAGGGCTCGTATCTCCAAACTAACACTTCAAACTAACTCTTCAAAACTAACACCTTAGTTATTATTGACTGGTTTGATTGTAGGAGCTGGATTATTATTTACATTATAACTAAATGTTAGTTTTTCCTATACTACTAGTCGGTTGTACTTGTGGTCAATTTTTAGCTATTTTAATGCAGCTGAAGATGCTCTGAAAGCGAAAGTACTTGGGCAAGATTTAATAAAAAATTGTGCTCGATATCTGTCTTTTATTTGTAAAATTCAAACCTAATTTATTTTCAAACAAACGTTTTTCCATAAGATAAAGTAAATTCTTATTTAACAAAACAAATAATTCTACAAATGATAGTTTGTAGACTATCTAAACAATGTAAAGGTTAGAAGCAACTAACTACGGCGTACTTCATTTTAGTGCCATAAAAAGTTATTACTTTTTGAACTAAAATGAACAGAAAATTAAAAAAATATAAAATAATTTAAATTCAGTTGAATAATATTTATAATATAAATATAATAATATAAATAGATAATAATTTTGAGTGATTAAAGAATTGTTTTGAATGAAGACTCTTTCCACACTAATATATCTACTACTCTAAGTATTTCGTTATTTGTTAGTAAGACATTGCATTTATAAAATCTTAAAAAGCATTTTAAAAATAAAAAAACTTACGCTTCTTTCTTAACCAGCCTCTGTCTTTTGAGTTCCGTCTCAATATCATCTTGGAGGTAATTAATTTCCTCTTTAATTTCTCTTGCGATCTTCAACTGCTTCTGTTCTATTGCAGCGACATATTGTTCTCGCAAAGTGGACATTTCTTCCATTTTCTTTTCATTTTGTTCAAAAATCAGCTTGTCTCGTTCTACTAAAATTGAAAACAATTTTATATATTATCGAACACGCAGATTCTGGACAAAAATACACATTTTTTTGAGTTAATGTCAAATCTCTGCTACAAAGAACCTTTTTTATTTTTATAATGTTGGCCCATGCTTTAGTTAATCAATTAATCATAAAGAAAACAAACGTTACTGTAGTGTAAACGTTTGAAAAGTCCTAATCATCATGGGAATCTTATAGATAATAACACTTCTTCTAGTATCGCTAAACAATAGTAAATTATAGTATCTCTTATGAACAGTAAACTCAATCACGCAAATGTACTTACATTCCAATCTTCTTAACGTAGCAGCTCGCTTTTTCGAAATCAAACCTAAAATCACGGAGTCTTCTTGATGTGATTTCATCAGTATTTCTTTCATACTAAATCTTGGACCACACTCTTCGTAAACATCCAAATAATAGCTGGTTGTATTGTGTCTTAAAGCAACTAATTGATCTAGAGTTACGCAACATGAAATAATGGATGGTTTTGTACCCATAAGGTACAAGCGAAGTTTACTCTGAAAATTAAAAATAATAACATCATATAGTTTCTTAAAAAACTTAAGTATCGAATTTTAATAACGTAAATACAAATGAAACAAACTGTTTTAAGTAATTTCTAATAAAACTTAAGTGCTTATCCAAAAAAAAATGGACCGGAGCTTACATTAGACGACCTGGAATCGGTCCCTAACGAAGAACTAATGCCCGTGATAATCGCTTCATCCTCCTACAAAGTCTACGAGATCGTCGTGTCACGGTTGTACAAATCCGAAATCAACTTCAGTACGTCTGGAATACTAACGTAAGTGAACGAAAAATTAGGCAAGGGCTTGGAGAAGCAAATTTAAGCAGTCGCAGACCTGCAACAGGCCTACAATTTCTCGGGCGCCATCTGGCTCATTTTACTGTAAATAATTGGAGGCACGTTTTATTTTCCGATGAGTCCGAATTTACCTTGCAGTCTCCAGATGTCCGTGAGAGAATCATCTGTTTTTAAATGAAGTAAACATTCCTGTCATGGATTGGCCAGCATTGAGTTCAGATGCAAACCCAGTCGAACATGTTTGGGACATGCTTGGGCAAAGGATACGAAGTCGTGTTCCTGCCCCTTTAACCTTAAATCAGTTACAAGAAGCCCTTTTAGAGGAATATGAGCTTATTCCTCAACAGAACATTTCTCATTTGATTTTAGGCATGCCAAGGAGAATTCATTCAAAAATTCGAGCACGTGGAGGAAACATTCATTATTAAAATCAGTTTGTCTGGACGCATGATTTAAGTTTTCATTCATTGAGCGTGATTTTATTACAACATTTACTTACATTTTTGTTCCATAATTTTAAACAGTTTTTTGTTCAAAAGTTAAATTTTTATTAGAAATTCCTTAAAACAGTTTATTTCGTTTATATTTACGTTATTTTAATAAGAAAATTTTAAAGAGAATTAAAATTTTAATTTTAATTCTCTTTAAACTCTACTACTACAGATGGAAGAAAGAAGGAAATATAAAGAAAAAGATCTACAGACGTATAAAAAAATACAACGAATAATTAAGGAAAAAATCAAAACAGCTAAGAAAGAAAAAAGACCACAAAATATACATCACCTATTGACAATCAATGGTAACGTGATAGATTAAGTAGAAAAATATCAATACTTGGGAACTTTGATCAATGAAACAATGATCTGATTTGGAGATCAGACTACATACCATTCGCTGTTATATATTTTCAATATTATTATATGGAGTTGAATACTTGGATATTAAAAAAAATGCAATTTAAAAAGAATCGACGCTTTCGGACTCTGGTTATACCGCAGAGTATTAAAAGCATCATGGACTGACAGAATTACAAATGAAGAAGTACTGGAGAGGGTTGGTAAAGAAACAGAACTAATCACCACTATACAAATCAGAAAACTGGAATACCTAGGCCACGTGATGAGGGGCCCAAAATATGAAATTTTGAGACTCATAATACGGGGAAAGATTCAAGGAAGAAGATCTGTTGGCCGAAGGCAGAACTCATGGTTAAAGAATCTACGTGATTGGTATCAATGCAGTTCGATTGATTTGTTTAGAGCAGCAAGTTCTACAATAAAAATAGCCATTATGATTGCCAACCTCTATAGGGAGACTCTAAGAAGAAGGAAAATTACTAGTAATTAAAAAACTAAAAATATTTAAAAAAAAAAAAACGAAACTATACTTACTGTATGTGCACAAAATTTCAATAAACTCATAGATTTCCCACACAAAAGAATATCCGATCGTAGATCCACAAGAAAATCTGGTATAATATCCTCTTTAAATGAGTAGCTTCGCGTCCAGTAAGTTCTACCTCTAGATGTATTGTACTTTGAGTTAACTTTTACAAAAAATTCGCCATATGGATCATTTAATGTGCCTTCAGTAATCCACTGTTTTAGAAACCGTCTGAAAATGAATCATACATATCATTAGTTCTTTAGGTCTGAAACGTCACCTTTTTTGTGCATTATGGTTATGAAATGATTGCATTATGCCACTGGGAGGGGGTTAAGCCTCTTGTCAAACAAACATTGAACATATTTTTCAACACATTTACTAACATTCCTCCTCCTTCTTTGATTTGTTCAAGAACTATCCCATCTTTTCCAGGTGATTTATTGTTTTTCATCTCCGAGAGAGCTGATTTTATTTCCTCTGTTGTGATATCTAAGATGTCTTCTGAGCCTACATTTTGAACGATGTATGACATCGGTGCTGAGTAAATCTGTTTTTTCTCGTAGGGCAAAAGAAAAAACAAAGTTTCGCATTCGCATCCTTTAGTTCGACAGCATAAACTTGAATGGCCTTATTTCCCATAATATTTCTAATTTTTTGCCTTAGTGTCTGAGTTAGTTGGTGTTAGAGCTTTGTGTCTGTATTGCTGTAGTAAACAATTTGTGAGTTCATGCCAGCATTATTGAATAAAGAACAAAAAACAGTTCAAGGCCAACGGTTGCTCACTCTTGTAATCGAATATTCTACCTTCATCCTGTCCACCACATCAACAGCTCCTTTTGTTAGATTCTAGAATGTTATGGCTGAAGGTTTCATTGCATCGCCACTTTCTGTATCAATTTTATCATCTTTGTGAAACGTCGACAGCATCAGCACATTTCTATTAGGTTTTGGTACATATGAGGTAAGAAAGCATTTATTGGTATCAACTCCCCAAGCAAACATGCTATTTCTTTTTCGTAGTTTAGTATCTAAAAAAATTGGAGGAACCTCTCGCTTGTTCTTCCGTAATGTGCCAACTAACGTTATACGGTGGCTGATCGCGGGTTAAAGAGATCCTAATGTAAGAGAAACTCTCACACGCGAGTGCTCGCATAACTTTTTAAGGAGCGGGTGATCCAGTGTTAAAGAAATCAGATTATTCTTAGACAAGGAAAGAGAGAGAACGGGTAACGCTCGTTCAACCAACCTTCAAAAAGTCAAATGAAATCGTAGGCTTCCACGGCCAGAGTCAGAATTATTGTTTATTCGTCTTCCGGGTTTGGACCGTGTCATTTGTGAGTGACCCAAAAGTGGGTTCATCTCGACGTTTCGCTACAATTGTATGTAGCTTCTTCAGGAGAACAAAGAAAAGAAAAAGAAAACAAAAGACAGGAAGATGGGTAGTTAGCAACGGTAACTCAGTTACTCAACGCAACCAGAGGCGAATACTAACTACCAAGATGGGCATTTGGTCACAGTAACTCAACTACTCAACGCAGCCAGAGGTGAAAACCAAATGCCAGGACAGGGATTCACGTCCAACAGCTCAGAATACTAACGCGTCGAGAGGCGGGGAGTGAATCCGACGATTACTCCGCTACCGCTCTATTTATAGTCGCGGTGACCTGTCGTGTCGGGACGTATCGGCACACTTCGTGGCGCGAACGTCAAGAAGTAGTATCCTTCCTCTCGATTGATATTATGGGGATTTTTTCGGATCTCTAGAGATTCGCGGATTTTCCTGGAATAAAAGAAGGGGCTCTTAGAAATAATATGGGTTTTTTCGAACAATATGGAATAACCGGTTTCTTGACAGTGTTCTGCAACTGCAGAATGGGAGAAAAGACCTGATCGAATGCATCTTTGATGCTCTTGAATCCGAGTTTTGACGGAACGACCAGTTTCGCCAATATACACATGTCCACATGAACAAGGAATAGAATAGACACCACAGGAAGATAGGGGCGGTAATGGGTCCTTAAGAGAGGGTAGATATTGTGAGATTTTCTTGGGTGGTCGAAAAGTAGTCCTGATACCTTCTTTGCAAAGAATTTTGCCAATCCTATCAGTGACATTTCGAATATACGGAAGAAAAGCCACAGGAGTATTACCCGAAGATTCTGAATTTGTCGTTCTAGGGTGTAAAGGGGGATGTAGATGTCGGTGTGTAATATTTTGAATTGTAGACTTGGAGTAACCGTTGGCGACAAGGGTTTTTTGCAGATGGCCAAGTTCTTCTCTAAGGTTAAAAAAATGGCGGACACATCAAAAAGTGATGCCACTTTTTGATGTGTCCGCCATTTTTTTGATGGCAAACAATAGACCTGACACCAGTTTTGTTTTTGTGGTTCTTTAAAAAAAGTGAATTAAATACCTATTTTTTTTTTACTTAACAAAATGGTGAATTGTGCATATATTCTTTGTGAAAATCGCAGCGAGCAGAAAATACCAGAAATATCGTTTCATAGGTAAATACTTATAATAGTGCAATTAGGTATTAATTGATTTTACTTTTTATTTCAATTTTAAACCTCAAAACCAATTTAAATTAGTATTTTAAGGAAAGGTGAGATCTAAATTAGTAAATAAGAATGTTAAATATGCATAGTTATTTCAGAAATTGTATTATAATTAATAATTTCGCTCACACACCATGATGATTTGCCAGTGGCGATGTGCGTTGAGGGTTAAACTTCGATAAAATATTCCATAAATAAATTTCATTAATTTTGATTCCAAAATATTTGTATAAAATAAAATAAATAAAACATTTAATGTACAAAAATGTTTCATTTTAAATACGAATTAGTCAATCCTTAAAAATACAAAGATACGACGCTGACCACTTCCTCTGGTGGCAGTTTGGCTTCACTTTTAGCGATACGGTTACGCATCCTCTCTCTTTCCTTGTCTTCTTCTTCAAGTGCCATCTTCGTTCCGAAGGTTGGCGATCATCAGGGCTATACGTATTTTCGAAACTGCTGACCGAAACAATTCGTTGTTGCTACAACTATACCATTCCCGTAGATTCTTTAGCCAGGAGTTTCGTCTTCTTCCTATGGACCTTTTTCCTGCTATTTTCCCTTGCATAATTATTCGAAGCAGTTCATATCTTTCGCCTCTTGTAATGTGGCCCAAGTATTGCAGTTTTCGTTTTTTGATTGTAAATATGACTTCCTTTTCTTTGTTCATTCTTCTCAAGACCTCGACATTTGTGACTCTCTCGGTCCATGATATTCTCAGGATTCTGCGATACATCCACAGTTCAAATGCCTCTAATTTTTTGGTATCAATCTTTTTTAACGTCCATGACTCCATTCCGTAAAACAGCACAGAAAGTACGTAACATCTCATCAGGCGAAGTTTCATTTCAAGGCTCAAATCTCTTCCGCAGAACACTCTCTTCATTTTAGTGAATATGGATCTGGCTTTTTCTATTCTTATTTTGATTTCCGCTGAGCTATCGTTGTCTTCATTTATAAAAGTGCCTAAATATTTGTATTTGCTAACTCGATCGATAATTTCATTGTGTAAATATAAATTCCTTGTCTAAGAGATTATTATATTGTATATACAAGTTAGGTTATGTTTATATTTGTTTTGAATTCGAAGGAAGGGTTAGTCTAATACTTGCTCTAATTATGATTATTTTCAATGAATTTGTATTATAAATAACGTAAGGCTTATTAAGCCAACTCTCTCAGATGTTTTGTTCAAAAATTACTGTTTTTTGCTATTATTAATCAAAATAAAATTACTTACATGAAATAGACTTGACAGCAGGGGTATAAGATAGAATACAATACGTATATGACATTTTGGTCCGTTAAACTTAGCACCTTATGATATAAATAATTTAGCAACGCCACACCATTCTCCGTGTCTTCAGAAACTGTATAAGGTCCAACCTTGCACACCGACGCTAATGTGTTTACCTGTAGCCGAAGTTGATAAGTTTTCTCATGGAATTGTAGAAAAGTGGTAGAATTCGGTATGTTGAATATGGCAGTTTGATAAAATTTTAAATATCTTCTAACACTTTCGCAAAATTCCTAAAAAATTAAGCATACCATACAAATATGAAATATTAGTTTTAATAACTTTTTTAAGTTGAAGCTACATTATGTTATATATATATATATATATATATATATATATATATATATATATATATATATATAACATAATGTAGCTTCAACTTAAAAAATCATGTTATATATATATATATATATATATATATATATATATATATATATATATATATATGGTTCTTGAACTCCTAAGTGGTGCATAGAGCTTCAGTGAAAACGCTCTATCGTGTTCTATTTTGCGCTAAGGCCTTCACCTCATTCCAAGACTTTCTTTGGCCTCTTATCTCGTCCATGATGGATCTTCTCCAAGTTTGTACTGGGCGACCTCTTTTTCTTTTCCCTTGGGATTCCACTCTAGGGCAGTCTTTGCGATACTGGAACTATTTTTTCGGAGTGTGTGACCGATCCAACCCCACTTTCTGGACTTAATTTCATTTTGTACCCTCTTTTGTTCAGTCAGGTGTAGCAAATCTTCGTTTCTGATGGTGTTAGGCCAGAATATACGGACAATTCTTCGTAGGCATTTGTTAACAAAGACCTGCAGTTTGTCTGTGAGGGTGTTTGTCACTTTCCAGGTTTCACATCCGTAGAGTAGAACAGACATGACATTTGATCGGAATATTCGGATCTTTGTCCTTGTAGTATACTCGCCAGATCTCCAAACAGGGTTGAGCGTGCTGAAAGCTTGTTGGGCTTTTCGTATCCTCATACGAATATCGTTTTCTGTACCTCCGTTTTCTGTTATGATACTTCCAAGATACGTAAAGTTTTCCACATTTTCAATCTGCATATTGTCGATAGTAAATAGCGTGTTGTTCCTTGCATTTATTCTCATGGACTTGGTTTTACTAATATTGATTTTCAAAGCTATTTTATTGGCTTCAGTGGAAAGTGTTTCCAATTGGTAAGCCAGATCTTGGAACCTCTGACCTAATAAGCAGATATCGTCCGCGTATTCTAGATCGCTTAGGCGTGTGGTTAACCTCCATTGTATCCCTCTTGTATCGGAGTCTAGTTTGGGGAGAACATAGTCTATAGCTATGTTAAAAAGAAACGGAGAAAGCACGCATCCCTGTCTTAACTCCAGTAAGTACGTCGAATTCGTCACTGTTGATCCCATTGTGTGTCACGCTGCATTTCGCATCACTATATAGTGACTTTATAATAGAAATTATTTTTTGCGGGATGTTTCATAGCTCTAAAATTTTCCATACAGCAGCATGAGACAAGCTGTCAAAGGCACGTTTAAAATCAACAAAAACCATGTGTAGGGGTGTGTTCCATTCAACCGATTGTTCCATTATTACCCTCACAGTATTAATGTGGTCTATGCTGGAGGATTCTGGCCTAAAGCCTGCTTGATTAGTTCGAAACTCAACCTTGTTTGTTAATCTTTTCAGTATGATGGTCGTGAAATCTAAATAAGTCTAGATTAAGTCTTAGACTTAACATTATGTTAAGTCTAAGACCATTGGTGTGACAGCAATGGAATGGAACTTAATGTTAAAAAGTGTCATTTAATGGTTTTTGGTCGGAATCATACTCATACAAATCATATCTATACTATTAATGGTTGCCCTTTATATCTCAGATAAAAGACCTAGGTGTTGTGTTCGATTCCAGCTTATCCTACATCCCCCATATCTCATCTGTTGTCCCAAAATTACTTTAACTTTTAGGGTTTATCAAACGTTGAGCTAAAGACTTTATAAATATCCCATCCATTACTGTGTGTGTGTTTGGTCTCCGCACTATAACACCCGTATTCAAGCTACTGAGAGAATTCAACACAAATTCTTAAGATTTTTTGAATTTAAATAAAATCAGAGGATTGAAGAAATTAACTATTTAAATATGGAAAGGTCCCTCAACATAACTTCTCTCCAAATCTGATCATGCATAAAGATCTCACTATGTTTTATAGTATACTGCACTTTATTATTTTAGGTCCTCAACTATTGGAAAAAATTATTCTCCATGTTCCCAGTAGACAAACAAGGCTAAATCAATCCTTTTATGTTAGACCCCATCGCACAAACTATGGACAGAATTCGTTAACATCTAGAACACCAAGGTTTGCTAATCAATATTCCCAAAGGTTGGATTGTAATAGTATTATAAAACAATTTAAAGCTCTGCTTAAGAACTGTGTATGATAGCTTGATGTCATTGTGTGCATTCTTTGTTAATGTTTGTTATTTACTATTTTTTTAAATACTAAATTTTTAAATTTAACTTAACTAGGTTACATTAAGAATCTTCTGTAATTTATCAATAATGTTTACATTGTATTTTAATTGGGCGATTGCCCGTGGATAAATACATAAAATAAAAATAATAATATTTATTTCGAGATTATTTGATTTCATTTTTAATATCCTCTTAATATTACATTCTTCTAAAACAACCAAATAGCTTTAACTTACTGTAAATACATATCCTTGATATTTATATTGACCTGTTTCCAAGTCTGGAGTACTTAGTTTATCTAAAGCTTTCGCACAAGTTCCTGTGAACATAATATCGTTGCAGTATCTTAATAGAGCATCTGGAGTTATGGCCTCAACATTTATTCCAGGAACCAAATAAAAAACACCTTGGTCATCAAAAGTAAATGAATCAGATGCCATTCCCACTAAAAAAAGGAAATTAATAAAAAGAAATTATTGGACAATTAGGAGAGGTAGAGCAAGGACATGATCTCAGAAGGACTTGGGAGCGATCAGTTGGTGGAGAGATGAGGAGAAGAAATCAGAGAACTGAAGGTGTACATTGGAAAGGATCAAAACCTACCGTAGCACTGAGGATGAAAATAAAGGCATACTTTTTGTCATTTGTATCTTATTTATCTACTTACCGTCAAGTATATTAAAATAGTAATTTTTTAATTGTAATATTAACTTAAGTGAAGTAGTTAAAAATTACCAGATAAGCTACCTGAATTCCTACTTAGCAATCTTAAATATAGTACAACTTCATTTATATTTAATGGATAATTTCCTAATAAAGATGACATTAAAATCTATAGGACCCAATCAAGACAGTAAAAAAATAAAATTAGCAAATAAAAAATCCTTTATAAAATGTATATTTATGTAAACTAACCATTAGGGGCTAAATCACAGATTGTTTTTGAACTGGATTAATCCATTTTCAGTACTACTACTAGGTATAAATGTTTATAGACACCGCATATATGGATGAAAACCCTTTAAATATTATTTAATTGGTTATAAAAGGATTCTTGCTAGGATTTGCAACCCTCATTGAGAGTTTATGTTGCGTTGAAGCGAATCTACTTAAAATTTTTAACATATATATAAATATCAGCAACAATGTAATCTATTACCAATTAAATAATATTAAAGGGTTTTTATCCATATATTTGATGACTACAGACTATACAGCTGACTACAGAAAATTAACTTTTTCCTTTTGAATTGTAAGATATTAGTTCTTGTTTGTAAACAGCTGAATAGGACATGTAGTACTGTTTGATGAGAGACCCTGGTAGCTATATTTAAAAAAGATTTCATTGAAATACAATGAGACAATTGAATTTTAAAATATGCTAGTGCTTCCATTAAGTACTTCTAACATATGAGTAGAAAAAAAAGGAAAGTAACTTTAAGTGCCTTTAACATTATCAGAGCTTGCATTAAAAAATATAAAAATACCTAGTAAATATTTCAAATCTTGAATAAAATCTTTCCTGGACACCATCCTGGAATTATATACTGTACCATCTTTAAACAACTTAAACATATATAGAGATTCTAAATTTTCAACCCATAATGAAGATAGTGGACCAAGTTCAGATAAAAATGGCAACTCTTTATCAGGTTCAGGATATCCAAAGTTCTCCCATGTTTTTCTTCTATTGTATTTTAATTTTGAAGCAAGTTCCCAAATGTTCTCTGGACTTTTAGGAGGAGAATCATAACCTTCATCTTTGAAAATCTCACTAAATTTAGTGTTTGGTGTAAGGGTGTTATCTTTAGAGATTTCATTGAGAGTGATGTTTTTGTAGGACTGTATGGTTTTCAAGTTTTCCTCTGCATTAAAAACTGTTTTAAAAGAATCAGGCAACTGGAATAATTTGTTGAAATTTTCAAATTCTTTAATAGGTGGCAAGGTTGATAGATCCTAAAATACACACAAGAATACTAGTTATTATTTACTGTAAACATAAGCAAAAACAATACTTATGTACACTGTAAAATTTTTTTAGTAAATCTGCTTATTTAAATACAGTGAAAAATTGAAACCCTTTTTAAACTAGGTAAAATTACTATAAGAAAACTACAAATAAACTACTGAAATATAATATTACCGTTGAGATCAGTAAATTTAAGCTAATGATTTTGTATGCATTTACTCATTGCTATTTTCCTCATAACTTTGCCAAAAATCAGTAAATTGACTTGCTGACAACTACAAAATAGCCTTTCAATAGTTTGTAAAATTACCAGTGCTAAAATTTCATTTAAATTACAGTAATTTTTTTACATTTTTGCTTATAACTCAGTAAAATTACCATGTAATTTATGTACTGGAAGACAGTGCCTCTGTTAAAAAAATGTTACAGTGTATATTTATAAAATCAGGAAAACAAGAAGACAATAGAGCATCATGCAGCACTATAAAATTTTGTAAATGTAATAAATTTAGCATCATTGTGGAACTAAAAGATAATTATGCAATAAATAAAATTAGGAAAAACACAAAAACAGTTGTTAATGTGTTCAATCTGTACCATGTACATCACCTATATAATAAAATACAGTATGAAAATAACAAAAAAACTTATATGGTGCTATTAAAATGTATATATTCTATTTATATGATATTGGATGAACTCAATATATAGCCTAAATAAAGATTATTGGTATATTTACCAATATATCTTCATTCTTTGTAGGAATGTTTTTTAATTCCATAAGAAATGTAAGTATTCTATTAAAATACTCTTGATCTTCTTTTAAAGACTGATGTAAATTTTCTACACATGATTTTAATTCATGTGCATGATTTTTCATATTAAACTCATGTGTTAGCTTAAACTCCCAGGATAGGAAGTTGCAATAGGGGTCTCTTACACTGGTATCGTCACTGCAATCTAGAAAAATATATAACCATGATGCAAAAGTACTTAAATTGTTTCTTTTACTACCTTTCTTACTATTTGTGATACATTTCTTCAATAAAATTTCATAGCATTTGGTTCTAGCTGACTTTATATCATTTTGATTAGTATAAAATTGTTCACAAAGATTTGTTACTAAAGTAAAAACACCCTCTTCACTTTCTTCATCAGTTTCCATTATCGTTAATTTAAAAAAATGTATATAAACATAACAATTAAGTTAAATTTTGTTGTGACATTACTCACTGACTTTTAATCATTTGACATTGACAGTGGCAGTGACTTTGACAGAGACTTTGAATTTGATATTCTGTAATTGCAGTCACAGAACAAATAATAATTGATATCTCTTCTGTGGTGCGGTTGTCATTATCTTCGTCATAAGTTTCTTGAATCCATCTCTCTATGCCCACTCTCCTCAGATGCCGCCTTTGAAGTTTGTCAGCACGCGATGGCCAAGGACACTAAACACAGACAATATACAAACAAATAATAAACAATCAGAATGTCCACTCTCAGATGCCGCCTTTGAAGTTTTTCAGCACGCGCGCCATGTTTTAGAAGGAAACACATAACACAGACATATGATTTGTGAGGTTATGTAATTGTTTATATTCTTATATTTATGTTTAATTATATTATATTTATGTTATTATATTTAACAATGTTAATATAATTGTATAGTATATCTATGATTGCTGTAAGTCAATTAAACCGGGTTAATTTTTCTATGTACACCACATAAACAACACTGGTTCCCTCTAAAACATGGCGGAACGTATGCGAGTACTTAATTTTCCATGGAGAGTGGGCATTCTAATTGTTTATTAATCTGTGGGTTAGGCACGGTGAGGTGCACAGTGTCAGAGAACTTCGAACACAGTTTGCAGCATGTTTGCAGTTTGCAGTTTTGCAGAACGCGGTTGTAGTTCTGTGACTGACAGTGTTGTTCCGTTGTTCGGTGGTGTTGTGTAATCAAAACAAAACTGACATTTGTAAATAAAATCAAATTTAATAAATATGGAATAAATTAAATCAAATTTAATAAATATGGAAATAAAACAAGAAGCTAGTGAGACAACTTGTAAAATAGCTAATGAAGCGTACGGTGGTCCTTTGGATGCCTTTAAAATTGAAATTAAGGAAGAACCTAAGACAGAAAATGCATATGAAACATTTGATTCTTCAGTCTCAAATACGTTCTCGGTAAATACTGAAGGAGGTAAGTAAATAATGATGATAGGTAGACCCTGAAACATGTGTAAGAGAATGGTAAGGGACTTGAGTTGCATCCAAACGAAACCGTTTATTTGTTTTAACAAATTAATTATGTTGAGGATGTTCATTATTAACTTAAAAATTAGAGTGTGCATTAGTCTTTTAAGGATATATATTTTATAATGAATTTCTTGGTGTTGAATGAGATTCAGAGGTAAAAAAAGGTTATTTCCTGTCTTTAACCAATGTAATGGATGTTGTGCTCAATAATTCATACATATTTACAACATAAGTCTTTTTCCAATCCTAAAATGTTGGGAAGGCTTGCTGGAATAATATATTCAATAATTGTACCTGAATCAGATTTCATATAATAGAATATCTCTTTCACCAAGTGGCATATTAAATAATTCTTTTCTTTTATAAAAATATATTTTAATAAGCAATTCTGGAAACATTATTTGTACAACACTGGGATTTCATATTTTATAATTAAAATGTAACACAATGTTAATAAAGCTAATTGAACCAAACCTTACCTTACCCAAACAACAAAGCAGTGATTTTCTGTTAGAAACAGGTAAGCATACAAGTTTAAAATATTTACTTAAGTAAAAATCTGATATTTTTTTCTAAAAAAAAAAACATATTTTGTATGACTATGGCACACTGGATAGAATTTTCCCCTTCTTGCGCATCTGAAAAAATTTTGAAACTTGGCAATACTGAGCAATAAAAATACAGGATAATTTTAATAGTTCCCATTAATATTATCATTTCTATCATCTATGAACATAAATTTTATCAGATTCTGTTAATTGCTACTTAACATTGAATTGGCGTTTTATCAGAATGACTTCACCCCAAATTACTACACTGTGGGAAAGGGAATCACTCAGGGAATCCTTGGAAACCTTTTCATGAAAAATAATTATAGTAGCAGTTAATAGTAGCAAGTTAATGGTAATTGCAGTCCAATTCTACCTGTCCAGTTTTTTTAAGGAGTTTATAAATAGTCTATGAATTGTTTAAGAATTTGTAATATTTTATGTACCTTTATATATCCCGTCCCTGTTACATAACATAACATTACTTTTATTTGTCTACTTCTTTGCCATTCTGTTACAAGTACATTATTTTATGTTTTAATGAGAATTCTGGTAGTCCGCAAATTCCGAGTAGATTATTCTTCATTCAAGTTTTAAAGTTGACTCATAGAAGTTTCAAGGTGATTTTGGAACCTACCTGTGCTTGCTTGTGTCTATGAAACCATTGTAATGATTTTTTGTTGTTGATATGGATATGCTTATTTTGAATGCATTGAGGTACTCATTAAAAGACAATCAAGTTGATTATGACATGAATAGAAGAGAGAAATACAGACTTTTATAACATATTTCTATCATTTACCAGACTCCTACTGTTTTTAAATCTTGTTATGCTATTGTTTTAGCGTATTTATTTTATATTTGGTTTGTATTTTAGGTTATCTCCAAAATGAAAACAAAATGGGAATTATGGAGACAGCAATTGAACATTCATCTTACAAGGGACATGATATCAGTCTACATGCTGAAGCAAAAGCATTAAATAAAAATGTGAAAGTTGTGACTGAAAAAGGATCTTACAAGTGCGAAATTTGTTTTAGGCAATGTAGTGGAGAAAGTCATTTGAAAACACATTTGAAAGTGCACACTGGGGAAAAACCTTATAAGTGTGAGATTTGCTTTCAGCAGTTTTCTCATAAATGTTCTATGAAAAACCATTTAAGAAGGCACACTGGAGAAACACCTTACAAGTGTGAAACTTGTTTAAAACAGTTTATTAATACAAGTGAATTGAAAAGACATTTGAGAATGCACACTGGAGAAAAACCCTACAAGTGTGAAATTTGTTTAAAGCAGTTTACTACCAAATTTCATTTAAAAATACATTTGGAAATGCACAATGGAGAAAAACCTTATAAGTGTGAAATTTGTTTTAAGCAATTTAGTCTAGCAAAGAGTTTAAAAAATCATTTGAGAGTACATACTGGATTAAAACCTTACAAGTGTGAAATTTGTTTTAAACAGTTTAGTGAAGTAGGTAATTTGAAAAGACATTTGAGAGTGCATACTGGAGAAAAGCCTTACAAGTGTGAAACTTGTTTGAGGTATTTTATTACTACAGGACATTTGAAAAGACATTTAAAAATACACACTGGAGAAAAGCCTTATAAGTGTGAAATTTGTTTTAAACAGTTTAGTGACACAGGTCATTTAAAAAGACATTTGCTAGTGCACACTGGAGAAAAGCCTTACAAGTGTGAAACTTGTTTGAAGTATTTTATTACTACAGGACATTTGAAAAGACATTTAAAAATACACACAGGAGAAAAGCCTTATAAGTGTGAAATTTGTTTAAACCAGTTTACTACAAAATTCTTTTTAAAAACACATTTGGAAATGCACAATGGAGAAAAGTCTTACGAGTGTGAAATTTGTTTTAAACAGTTTACTCTAGCAAGTAGTTTGAAAAATCATGTGGGAGTACATACTGGATTAAAACCTTACAAGTGTGAAATTTGTTTTAAACAGTTTAGTGAAGCAGGTAGTTTAAAAGACATTTGACAGTGCACACTGGAGGAAAATCTTAAAGGCACAATTCCATTGAGGCAACACTGAACAACATGATAAGATACATGTATACACTCATCAACTGCTTCAAAGTTTGAGACTTTAAACCACTAAATGTTGAAAGGTCACATGCATCTAGGTGTAATGCCATTCAGACGACTTCAGTTTAGTGTGCAATTACTAAATTTCACATGAATGAGTAAAGACGATTTTAAATACTTGAGAAAGTGTCACCAAAAATAAAAAAAATAATACCAACTTTTGCGAATCAATACCATTGCTTGTGAGGATTTTAGATACATTGAGATATCTGGCTACAGGTGATCGCTACCAGTCACTTATATATTTGTTTCAGATATCGTGAGATAAGCATCTTTTGAATTTTTCCTGAAGTATGTAGAGCTTTGATCAAAATTCTACGTGATTTTGTTATGGTAAGTAAAAATATGATATTTATTTGTATATAGGTAATACTTCTATTAATTACAAAAACTTTTTTTTTCAAATTACATTGCAAATTACAAAACATTTCTTGAAAATAATAACATAATTACATATGACTTGGTCTGAGTAGTTAGGAACTCAGAGGGTACTGGAAAGGTGAAAATATTGATTGACCTTTGATGATTTGTCAATGTAGATGCAAAGAATGTGCTGTTTCGTCGTTGTTGGTGCTTTATTTTTTTGAGTTAGTTCATCCTCTAGTTTGTCTTCTTGCAATTAACAAATAACCAAGAATATAAATCATACAATTAGAAATCAAAATGTACTAATAATTTAAAAATACACATTTTTTATGTTTTTTTTTGCAGATGGCACATACTGAAAATAAGTGGAGACAGACAGCACGAGATTTTGAAGTTTCTTGGGATTTTCCTGATTGTGTTGGAGCTTGTGATGGAAAACACGTGGACCTGCAAAACCCAAAGAACAATGACAGTATGTTTTTCAACTACAAAAGGAGTTTCAGCATTGTTTTGATGGCCATTGTTGATGCTAATTATAATTTCGTATACACATATTGGAAGTCAAGGCAGGATTTCTGGACGGCGAAATGTTTTTCGAGAGACGTCATTTTATAGTAAATTGACTAAAAAACGCTAAATCTACCTGGCCCAGAACCATTATCTGGATGTGAGACTTTTTGTAATATTGACTGATGAAGCATTCTCTCTTCAGGAACACATCATGAAACTATTTCCACTATACTTTTGGGCTGCTAGCATCTGTGTTTCATGTATTTACAAAACAGCTAATGGTTAATGTATAAAATGCTGAAATTTTCACAAAAACATGCATTTATCATCACAATTTTTTGAGAAGGATTAAAACATCGCGATCAATATACTCTCCTCAAGAAACTTGTGGTATAGAAACGCAAGATCGAATTATTCCAGAGTCATGAAGGGAAGTTATCCAAGGCTA